GATAACTGTCCGGACCTTAGAGTGACATACAAAAAAGCCAAACAAACTGTAAAAAATCTAATAAACCCTAACATCTCTGCCACAGGCATTATTGTATGAGTCTTGACAACAATATATTTAAATATTACAAAGAATATGACATCCAGTTGATTGTTATGCTTTGGAGCATTCTGTCCCAAAACTGGCTGTCAGCCAATGTCATACGGGATAACAAGCAAATTGGAGCAATTTTATTGTACATTTTATTTTGACACGATGTGAGACAGCATGTTACACAATCAGGAAGACCCTGAAGGACCCCCAAACAATGGTGAAAGTCTTTTATGTCTTTCATAAAATGTGTTTAACTTACCCTTTTTCCTCACTAGCACACTATGTAGTAAAATCCTGTGTCATATGGGATAACGCTAAAATAACATATATAATGTGGATTTTATGTCAATTGTTTATTTAGCATGAATTTACATATTTGGAAGTTGAAGGTAAAGGTTGCAGATTTCTATAGATAGCCAAAAATACTGCCTGATTAAGATTTAATCTGAGTTTTGTCATACCGGATAACAATTTTGTCATATAGGATAACAGTTGTTAGCCCATAATGTCATCCGTTATCTTGGATGACGTGTTTGACAATATATTCTTTAACAGTTTTCAGCTTTAATTTGCATAATTTCCATTCAAATTTTGATATTGACATATCATTAACATTGTTTAGTTGAATATTAGCAAATTATAAAATTCATAAGAATATTCAATTACAGTTACTATAGACATTGTCTAAAATAACATTTAGTGTTCATTTAATGAAATTTAGTGATTCAGTGTTCAACCCATTAATAAGATTTTTCTTTATAAATATGTTGTTCAATTACATCTTTTGTAAATTTGTTCAGTGAAATCAGTGAAGGTCGCCTACTTTAACCCTTTACATTATTTATGAATATTGATATAGAGTGACTATGATCAGTAAAATGGTTCAAGGTACTTTTCAGTAATAAATTAAACCTAATGTTGAAAAGTTGTGCTGTTTTGATATTCATAAACAACAAAAAAAATGGTTTAAATGTATTTACTTGCCAAATCTGGGAAGAAACCACACTGTGTTTGTGTGTAACAGTTTACACACTGAAAACCACATCTCTATTCCTCTAAAGTGGAGCCTAATTAATTTCCTTGGAAAAACATTGCATAACATTAATTATTTATGAACATTATTATGTGTAAGTGTTCAATTCATGTGTTAACTCATATGGTGTCATACCGGGTAACAATTTAAGTCAGGCGGGATAACGCTGTTTTTCCCATTGAAATGGATAATTTCACTTAATGGAGTTGAGGAAACAATAATAACATGATGTCAAGTCCTGTAAAACTTTAAGACATTTTGCATTTTAAATCACATTGCAGTGTTAAAATGTGTGTAAAGAACTTGAACAAGTAGGGTCACGTTTAAAGAAATCACAATATAATGAGAAAAAAATAGTTGTGCAGATTTTTTTTTCTGAGCTTTAAATATTGTTTACTGCATCACTTTACATATTCATTAAGTATTTTTGATTTGAAAAGTTTTAATATCATAATATTTAGAAAATGCTTTAACGTTATCCCGTATGACATTTTGACTGGTGTCGTCACATATTTCTCAGTTAAACCGCTTAAAATACATTGTTTAAAATTGAGATTTTAGTAATAAGTAAAAAACATCCCCATAAAGATAATAACTACTTTGATGTGCAGTTTTAACCTATTTGAATTTTTTATCAGTTGAAAACCTTATTTGTCACTGGCCCAGCCCCTGCTTAATGAGTGACAATGAGGACAGAACTGAAGATTCAAACGTGGTTACACTTAGATCTGGGATATTATTCTAATTTTGGCTTCCAAAGATTATAAAAAGAATATATTTGAGATAAACCATTACAAACTAGACGCATTCTGTCTAGCGCAACTTCCCTTCCCACTACCATTTCTTCCTAAAACCCAAACAAACCGCCAGAATCAGCACGATCAGTGATTGTTGTAAAATGGAGTCTCTACTGTTGCGGCGCGCGCTCCGAAACGGACTGCAACGAGACAAGAAAAGTATACTTATAGGCTTTGTGTGCACGTCTAAACTATCAAATATACACAAAAATATCAAAATGACCAGCTCTGAGATTCACTTAAATAGTTTCTTAAATGGATGAAGCTAAATAGTTGGGAGAAAATGATGGTGCATCAGTTACCTATTAGATCTTAGTTTCATTGTATTGTTTTTTTGACCATGTGTTTGTACTTGTTTTTGCTTATCGTGTCCTATCTTATGTATATAAAACAAAAAAGCCTGCACACTGCTACATAACATTGCTTTTTCTTTTGCTATAGATATTCTACATTTCAAAATATAAAGTAATGTTAATTATGTTCTTAATTCTTAAAAAAAAACACACACCAAAAGGAACCGATAAGAATACCGTTACAGTACCGGATCGATGAGTAGTATCGGTAAGAGTAGTAACACGTTAACCTTAACGATACCCATCCCTACTTGAGGGATTCCTTCTTCTGTTTTCTCACTTGTATCTTCGTGAGCTTAGAATTATAAGGTTCTATCTCCACTTTTGGTCGAAATTGAGTTTTTGACATAATCTTATCCATTAGGTGTTCATTAATGCCTGTGTGGTGTTATTTTTGTAAAAAAAAAATATTTTGTTAGTAGTTATTAATAAAATAAAAAGGTTCCATCTCACAAAACAGCAGGGATGTAAAAACTTTGATGCTCAATATCTCAGAACTACCCTAAACGGAGATAGAACCTTATAATTCTAAGCTCACGTCTTGTTAAAGGTGTCTGCTGTCATCCAGTCTTTCTGTTGGGGCTTCTTTGGTCCTCCTACTTCCTGGCAGGTTAAGGTTAGGGCATTTTTTACTCTTTTCCACACGGTGTGGAGGTCCGTTTCCTCATCATACAGCTCTTGCCTGAAAATCTTTTTTAGCTTCATTTTCAGTTTTGCAACTAGTGGATGGTAATCAGTTGTTGCATCTGCACCCCTCTTCACTCGGTCATCTTGGAGTGATCTTCTGAACTTTTTGGAGATACACAGGTGGTCTTTCTGGTTTTCTGTGGCATGGTCCGGAGACACCCACGTGGCCTTGTGGATCCTTTTGTGTGCAAAGATGCTGCCCCCGATGAGCAAGTTGTTCAGTGCACAGATGTCCGCAAACTTCTCTCCATTTTTGTTCCTGTGTTGTCTGCTCCTATTTTTATCCCCATCAGGATGTTCACATCTTTGCCCTTCCTTTTGTCCAATACAGCTTGAAGTCTACCATAGAAGTGGTCTTTCGTGCCCTCGCTGCTGTCATTTGTTGGTGCGTAGCACTGGATGATGTTAAGCTTGATGTTTTTCTTTTTGGTTTTAAATGAGGCAGTCATCTTCCTTGGTCCATGTCGAGCTTCCCAGCCGATCAGCGCCTACTGTGCCTCTCTGGACAGCATAAGTGCCACGCCGTCTGTATGTGCAGCACTGTCGTCTTCATGTCCTGAACACAGCAGCAGTTCCCCTGTTGACAGTCTCAGTTGTCCTGACTGCAGCCATCTGGTCTCGCTGAGCGCTAGAACTCCTCAATTGTAACTCTGCATCTCGGCTGCTACTTGCAGTTGCAGTTTTCCCTGCTTCGTTCATTGTCCTGATGTTCCATGATCCGATGGTAAAGGTTTTCCTGGTTGATAAAAAGGTGGTCTGCATTGTGGCTTCCTTTCGGCTTCCACCACAACACGTCATACGTTCTTGAGACGAGCCCTTTCTCTTCCAGGAGCGGAGTATAATGAATTGTTGTCGACGTGTCTGTAACAGTTTGTTTTTCTTCTTTTTTTACGGATTTTTTTACAATTGTTAGCCCTAAGCCATCCTCTTTAGCCTGGAGGAGAGATGTGGTCCAGGTTGACCTGTCCAGCATGGGTGACCCTACCAGGAGCATAAGCTCTCCGGGTAACTGAGATACGCAAGCCCTCCCACCACGACAAGGTATATGGACCATGAGGGGGAACTCGGCACTACTTAGGAGTTAATCAAATTGGCTACATTCATTGTAAAGTTCAGATTCTAAGCTTTCAAATGTTGTGTTGATCAAGGTACTAGTTTTGATAAATATGATTATGAATGTTTTCGTGGCGCCCGTGGGCGGTACACTCCGCTTTAGAGGGAATACTCAGCACTCCGCTTTAGAGGGAATACTCAGCACTCCGCTTTAGAGGGAGTACTCGGTTAAGGGTTGATCATAATGGTTGCATTAAAAAGCTGAATTTCTAACTTCACTCTTTTGATTTGTGAAAGGTTTCATTGTACAATTGCAATCTGTTGACACTTCCCTTGAGTCATTTACTTCAACATTCTGATTTGTGAGAACTTTTACAGTAAAGTTTTGGCCTGTTAACCATTTCCAGAGTCCATAACTTCATATTCTGATTTGTAAAATCCTTAACCGTACTTATCTGGTCTGTTAACCCTTGTTTGTGACTAACTTCACAAATGTAATTTGTGAAATATTTCACAGTACAGTTTTGGCCTGTTAACCCTTTCTTGAGTCTATAACTTGGTCGGTTAACCCTTTCCTGGGTGCCTAACTTCCCTATTAGAAAAAAAAAAGATAATTATGAAAAATGGTTACCTTACACATTATTGATTAGCAGACTTAGCAAGAGTTTGACCTACAATGCTTTGCTGTGAAAACAAATTCACAAATCAAGCTGGTCAAGATTAAACCAGTTTCAGTCTTTGTTTTGAGCTATAGGGATTATAAAATTAAGAGTCTCTATGAAAAGTTGAAAACACTGATTTCGGACCGAAGGACAGTGTCACTTATACTATTTCACAAATTTTGAAGAATCACATGCGATATTAGATAAATCAAGAATTTCTGCCCTGAATTTAATACTGGGTAACTGGGGTCACTCATCTTCATCTTTGTCAATTGAATTCAAATTCTGAAAATGGGGATTTAATTTAATTTGTTCCTTTCAGATCTGATGAAAGTGGAAGAGGAAAGTGAAGAACGGAGTGAAGTGAAAAGTGAAGAAGAAAGTGAAGAACTGAGTGAAGTGGAAAGTGAAGAAGAAAGTGAAGAACTTAGTGAAGTGGAAAGTGAAGAAGAAAGTGAAGAACTGAGTGAAGTGGAAAGTGAAGAGGAAGAACATCAGAAATCTCTGAATATCACAGGAAGAAAAAAATCTTCTAGTTGTTTAAAGACTAAAAAGAATGTTTCACAGAAAAGACCTCAAAGATCAAAAGCTAAAAGGCCATCATGCACCTGCCTTCAGTGTGGAAAGAGTTTCACATGTAAAGGAAGCCTTAAGGATCACACAAGGATTCACACTGGAGAAAGACCTTTCACATGCAGTTACTGTGGAGTAGGGTTTAAACAAAGCGGAAGCCTTACAGAACACATAAGAATCCACACTGGAGAGAAGCCTTACTCATGCAGTCAATGTGGGAAGAGTTACACGCAGAAAGGAGCCCTTGGGACACACATGAAAACTCACACTGAAGAGAAGCCTTTTACATGCCCGCAGTGTGGGAAAGGTTTTATACTGAAATCAAACTTTAACCTTCACTTAAAATCTCACTCCAGTGAGAAGCCTTTCATCTGTTCTCAGTGTGGAAAAGCTTTTATTCAGTCGTCACACCTGAAAGTCCACGAGGTCGTTCACAGTGAAGTGAAGCCGTTTCACTGCGCTTCATGTAACAAGAGTTTCAGCCAAATGTCTAGCCTTCGAATTCATTTAAAATCATTCATGCATAATAAATACAGGTCCCTAGAAAAGTTCATGATCCCAGCTGTAGCCTCAGGTCATGGTTTTCCCTCAGGAGCAAATGTGTCCCAACAGAGCAATATAGCAGGGTCGTCTACTAAAACACATTACCTGCAGTGAGAAAGGCAGTTCAGGAGACATGAATGTATTAGTTCAGAATATAAACGAATAATTGAAACATGCCTGGTGTTGTGAAGGGATTTAATGTTTAGCAGTAAAAACACTTTTAAATGAATAAAATTACATGTATGGTACCATTCAAAAACAAGGTCTGTTAATTATTTCTACAGCTTAATAGTTTAATGTCTTAAATTAAACATGTTTGCACTGAGAAATGAGAATATTTGCTTGTAATGATATTAGGAGTCTAAAAGAGGATGCCATGGTGTTGGAAAACCAGTCAAAACCAAAAATGAATTCATTTATATGCCTTTCTTATAGATAACACACAATTTATGAAGCAATGCACTTTTCTCACTGCCATATTTACTCCACTTGAACTCAAGCGTCAGTCATCAGTATAAGAGCGCCCTGCATGTGTGGGAAACTGGAGGACATGAGTGAGGAGAGGGCAGGTGGAGTGATGGAGGGCGTCATTAGGGCCGGTGGAGTGATGGAGGGCGTCATTAGGGCCGGTGGAGTGATGGAGGGCGTCATTAGGGCAGGTGGAGTGAAGGAGGGCGTCATTAGGGCCGATGGAGTGATGGAGGGCGTCATTAGGGCCGATGGAGTGATGGAGGGCGTCATTAGGGCCGGAGGAGGGCGTCATTGGGCCGGAGGAGGGCGTCATTAGGCCAGGTGGAGTGATGGAGGGCATCATTAGGCCAGGTGGAGTGATGGAGGGCGTCATTAGGGCAGGTGGAGTGATGGAGGGTGTCATTAGGGCCGGTGGAGTGATGGAGGGCGTCATTAGGGCAGGTGGAGTGATGGAGGGCGTCATTAGGGCAGGTGGAGTGATGGAGGGCGTCATTAGGGCCGATGGAGTGATGGAGGGCGTCATTAGGCCAGGTGGAGTGATAGAGGGCGTCATTAGGGCCGGTGGAGTGATGGAGGGCGTCATTAGGGCAGGTGGAGTGATGGAGGGTGTCATTAGGGCAGGTGGAGTGATGGAGGCACTCAATAGGTCCGGTGGAGTGATGGAGGGCGTCATTAGGGCCGGTGGAGTGATGGAGGGCGTCATTAGGCCAGGTGGAGGGATGGAGGGAGTCGTTAGGGCCGGTGGAGTGATGGAGGGCGTCATTAGGGCAGGTGGAGTGATGGAGGGCGTCATTAGGTCCGGTGGAGTGATGGAGGGCGTCATTAGGGCCGGTGGAGTGATGGAGGGCGTCATTAGGCCAGGTGGAGTGATGGAGGGCGTCATTAGGCCAGGTGGAGGGATGGAGGGCGTCATTAGGCCAGGTGGAGTCATTAGGGCCGGTGGAGTGATGGAGGGCGTCATTAGGGCCGTTGGATGATGGAGGGCGTCATTAGGGCCGGTGGAGTGATGGAGGGCGTCATTAGGGCAGGTGGAGTGATGGAGGGCGTCATTAGGCCAGGTGGAGGGATGGAGGGGGTCATTAGGCCAGGTGGAGTGGATGGAGGGCGTCATTAGGCCAGGTGGAGGGATGGAGGGAGTCATTAGGGCCGGTGGAGTGATGGAGGGCGTCATTAGGCCAGGTGGAGGGATGGAGGGCGTCCTTAGGCCAGTTGGAGTCAGGGCCGGTGGAGTGATGGAGGGCGTCATTAGGGCAGGTGAAGTGATGGAGGGACTCATTAGGGCCGGTGGAGTGATGGAGGGCGTCATTAGGCCAGGTGGAGTGATGGAGGGCGTCATTAGGGCCGGTGAAGTGATGGAGGGCGTCATTAGGGCAGGTGAAGTGATGGAGGGACTCATTAGGGCCGGTGGAGTGATGGAGGGCGTCATTAGGGCCGGTGGAGTGATGGAGGGCGTCATTAGGGCAGGTGAAGTGATGGAGGGACTCATTAGGGCCGGTGGAGTGATGGAGGGCGTCATTAGGCCAGGTGGAGGGATGGAGGGGGTCATTAGGCCAGGTGGAGTGGATGGAGGGCGTCATTAGGCCAGGTGGAGGGATGGAGGGAGTCATTAGGGCCGGTGGAGTGATGGAGGGCGTCATTAGGGCAGGTGAAGTGATGGAGGGACTCATTAGGGCCGGTGGAGTGATGGAGGGCGTCATTAGGCCAGGTGGAGGGATGGAGGGGGTCATTAGGCCAGGTGGAGTGGATGGAGGGCGTCATTAGGCCAGGTGGAGGGATGGAGGGAGTCATTAGGGCCGGTGGAGTGATGGAGGGCGTCATTAGGCCAGGTGGAGGGATGGAGGGCGTCCTTAGGCCAGGTGGAGTCATTGGAGTCAGGGCCGGTGGAGTGATGGAGGGCGTCATTAGGGCCGGTGGAGTGATGGAGGGCGTCATTAGGGCAGGTGGAGTGATGGAGGGCGTCATTAGGGCCGATGGAGTGATGGAGGGCGTCATTAGGGCAGGTGGAGTGATGGAGGGCGTCATTAGGGCCGATGGAGTGATGGAGGGCGTCATTAGGGCCGGAGGAGTGATGGAGGGCGTCATTAGGGCCGGTGGAGTGATGGAGGGCGTCATTAGGGCAGGTGGAGTGATGGAGGGTGTCATTAGGGCCGGTGGAGTGATGGAGGGCGTCATTAGGGCCGGAGGAGTGATGGAGGGCGTCATTAGGGCCGGTGGAGTGATGGAGGGCGTCATTAGGGCCGGTGGAGTGATGGAGGGCGTCATTAGGGCCGGAGGAGTGATGGAGGGCGTCATTAGGGCCGGTGGAGTGATGGAGGGCGTCATTAGGGCCGGAGGAGTGATGGAGGGCGTCATTAGGGCCGGTGGAGTGGTGGAGGGCGTCATTAGGGCCGGTGGAGTTTGCAAAAGGAGTTTGCAAGAGTTTGTGCTGTTGCTCAAGTACAGGCCTCATACTCCTGTGGCTGCAATACGAAACTACATGGAGCAAGAACAACACCCATAGACAGTAGCGAACACTCGACCAGCGCCGACGACATGCTAGGTAGAAGGAAGAAGCTCGATATTTAGTCGCATTTTGCGAATTTCTCTTTATAAATTCTCCTTTTGACATCTAATTCGTGACTGGTGTTTTGTTTTGCTCTCCTCTGAGCTTCTGCGTTCGTCATTACGTCAGGAGTCGAGTGTTACTCTTTCGCCGTAAATCGATGCGTACGGCCATCTGTCGGAAGCTAGTTATTTTAGTTTTAAATATGGATATTTTTTCTCACAGAAATGCATCACTTTCTAAAGGTCATTTTAGATGAGTTTTCATTTTTGGGTGATACTTTTAATATAGAGACTTTTGGCCTGTAGAAGAGAACGATCCCGTCTGAATGAATAAAATCAACAAAGGTGATCCACACGAGCCCAGTTGATGAAGCAATGGTCAGATAAATATTTTAAACCTTATCACTTCCTCTATTTGGGTTCATCAGAACAATTACCCTGGTAGCCTTTTACGATTCGGCCTGATAATGGGCAAGATCTGGCAGGCCGGAAGAAATAACTCGGCCCGGTTGCAGTTGCCAGACACGGGATGAATGACTCCCCAGAATCGGCCTAAATACACTGGCCCGAGCAATGAAGAACTCTGAAGAACTGCAAACCTGCCGGCATTGGGCCACAACCACACCGGCAAGAATGGTATACTTGGCGGTCGAAGTCTTGTTTTCCAAATTTAAAAATATGCTTGCACTTAATTAGAATGAAAAGAATTTAAAAAAATTTGTGTGTTCAGTACAACTTCTGAAATATGTGTATTAAAGACTCCTGCCAGTTTTTATGGAAGGCATTTTTGTCATCCAAAATGACATTGTAAAAAAAAACATTTAAACTACATTTTAATTGGAAGTAGATGCCATCTTAATGATTTGAAGGTAACTGTCTTTGTTAAGCCTACATGTACATATACATGTCAATTAAATACGTCACTTTTACAAATATGAAGGGTTTGACCCTTGACCCTTTTCCATGGCACCATAGCTGGTGTCCTGCAGTGTTGCTCCAGAACACCTTGACGCTTTTAGTGATCCTGGAGACTTGGATTAACTGATTCAGCTGTGTTATATCACTTAGATATTATGTGTGTAGAACGGCTCATTAAAATTATATTATATGTTATTATATATACACTCACCTTAAGGATTATTAGGAACACCATACTAATACTGTGTTTGATCCCCTTTCGCCTTCAGAACTGCCTTAATTTTACGTGGCATTGATTCAACAAGGTGCCGAAAGCATTCTTTAGAAATGTTGGCCCATATTGATAGGATAGCATCTTGCAGTTGATGGAGATTTGTGGGATGCACATCCAGGGAAACAATGCCCAGGTAGGCCGTGGCATTTAAACGATGCCCAAATGGCACTAAGGGGCCTAAAGTGTGCCAAGAAAACATCCCCCACACCATTACACCACCACCACCAGCCTGCACAGTGGTAACAAGGCATTATGGATCCATGTTCTCATTCTGTTTACGCCAAATTCTGACTCTACCATCTGAATGTCTCAACAGAAATCGAGACTCATCAGACCAGGCAACATTTTTCCAGTCTTCAACTGTCCAATTTTGGTGAGCTCTTGCAAATTGTAGCCTCTTTTTCCTATTTGTAGTGGAGATGAGTGCTACCCGGTGGGGTCTTCTGCTGTTGTAGCCCATCCGCCTCAAGGTTGTGCGTGTTGTGGCTTCACAAATGCTTTGCTGCATACCTCGGTTGTAACGAGTGGTTATTTCAGTCAAAGTTGCTCTTCTATCAGCTTGAATCAGTCGGCCCATTCTCCTCTGACCTCTAGCATCAACAAGGCATTTTCGCCCACAGGACTGCCGCATACTGGATGTTTTTCCCTTTTCAGACCATTCTTTGTAAACTCTAGAAATGGTTGTGCGTGAAAATCCCAGTAACTGAGCAGATTGTGAAATACTCAGACCGGCCCGTCTGGCACCAACAACCATGCCACGCTCAAAACTGCTTAAATCACCTTTCTTTCCCATTCTGACATTCAGTTTGGAGTTCAGGAGATTGTCTTGACCAGGACCACACCCCTAAATGCATTAAAGCAACTGCCATGTGATTGGTTGATTAGATAATTGCATTAATGAGAAATTGAACAGGTGTTCCTAATAATCCTTTAGGTGAGTGTATATTATATGTTAGATTATCTAAGATTTACTCAACACGCTAGCAAGAAGTTCTTCTGGCGACTAGCAGCACAAAAGCCCGCCAGGTGTCGTCTTGAAACTCGTATAGCAGAAATAATGTTAAAGTTCCCCTAACCACTTTAAACTTGGAGTATCACTTTAAATGACAATTGTTATGGAAATTTTAATAGTCATTGATCCCTAACAGATATCATAAGAGAGAACCTATTCAATGTGTAAAATATATGTGTGTACGTGCTTGTGCGTGAGGTTTCAGGAACATATGGGACAGGAAAACTGACCTTAGGGACGGCCAGTTTATTTCAGTACCAGTTTGTGTCTTTAAGTAGAGACTGAACAGCAGTAAGGACCTTATCTGGGTGTGTGAAAGGTACAGTGGGTGAAGAGGAACCTTGAAAAGAGTATAAAGGCTGTCTCATATCTTCCTGTTGGGTGTCACTCTCTTGCACAGCGTAACTTCTGTGTACTAGACTGGGCCTATTCTTGCAAGAATAAATACTTCTCTTTTTATTAATTTGGCTCTGAGTGTCTCTTACGCAGTGAAGATGTTTAACAGGATTTTTGCCACAACACAATCCTGTGATTAGAGTAACAGCACAGATGTGCAGCTTTACTGTTAAAATGTGAATAATGTCTGCAACCTGAAAATGAATCAAAACATAACCGTTTCTGTCTGTACTCTTCTTTTTCAGGTTGAAGGACACAGATGAGGTGTGTGAACAGACATTCAGTACTGAAAACTGGAAAATAAAACACATCTTCCATTTTTTTCTGTTCAGTATTCAGAGATTGAGTGTGTGTCGTTGTGAAAATCACCAGTGACTTCAACAAGATCCAAGTATAAATAATCAGAGCCCTTGAAAGTAGTTTGTGTCTCACTGTAGACTGTAGTATGTAAATGTAGTCGGTACATTAATGCATAAAAGGCTGTACATGTGACAGCCTCTCACTGGCTCAGTTCTGTGTTATCTGAATGCGTGAGAATCCATTAAACCAGAAAAATAGAAGTTATAAAACCAAGCCCAATTCTCAAACTGAATATAGATATTCCTGTACATCACATGACCGAAGCTACATGACAGTGAAAATCCAGCCGCCTCTCCTTCACAAATACTATCACTTTATATTAAAACAGCATATAAGAAGAAAAGATAAGATACACAAATGTCTTAGAGCTGTAAGTTCACAACCACAAATACTCATTGACCTGCACTAGTGAGAAATCAGATGAAATGGAGAAGCAGAAGATGTGAGGACTGAGTCTGTCAAAACATTACGAAAGACATTTTACAATATTTCATATGCATAACATTTGTTTTAGATATGAATAAGTATAAACAATTCTGATTTTTTTTCTCTAGAAAAACTTGGCATATGGAGATTTGCAAGTAAAAAAGGTGATAAAATACTAAATATATAGCCATCTAAAACGCAATGACATTATAAAGACGTTTTTGGTTAATGTCATCAGTAGTATAATACATTAAATCACAGAAAACTAAAAAATAATTTTAAAAAGTTCATACACATATATTGAGATTTATTTTCAATAAGAATAATTCCTTTGAGTCTGTCCCCACGATACATACACTTTCAATACAAAAATATACAAAACAATGTACATGTTTCATTTCAGAAGGTTTGTCATGTGATCAGTCCCAGAGTCCCACGTCTTTCAGCTCATTGGAGGAAATCTGTTGATCAGCATTCCTCGACAGGCCACGCCCTCTTCATGACATCACACCTTCTGTGAGCCAATCATGACTCTGGAGACGAAGTTGACGATGGCGCTGGCGGGCTGCTCGGGGTCGTGCTCCGCGAACAGGTGACACACGTTCTCCATGCCACTGCCCGCTTTACGAGCCACGAACCCAAAGACCCTGCCGGGGAGGGAAGAGCTGTTACTCCTGTTAACATGATGAATGAGAACTGCCCCGTTCTGGGTTACACCCGAAACACAGTCGTACTCACTTCGCTGAGCTGCAGCCGTCTCGTCTCCACCTGTGAACGAACACGGAGAAACAGTGAAAACGCCCATAGAAACTCAAGATCGCTGTAAATGATGTGATGGAGCAGAATGGACTCACTTCCGGTCCTGAGGGTCCAGAGCACAGAATATGACTGTGCCGACAGCATAGTGTCTTCTGAAGAACAGTCTAGAAAGACAGCAGGTTTCATCAGCTCCATGAATATTATTCCGACACTTTGAGCTGATCATGTTTTGCTGAAGTGTGTTTTCTGTAATTGCTAATGCTCTTTTTACACACAGACTCAACAACATGAAGCATTGCTTGGTCACTGGTTGAGCTAAACTGGTATTATCTAGTTGTGTAGTTAAATTTAACAGCTGACAGATATTCAACATAATTCATGTGTGAGAGTCTAACAGAAGGACGGACAAAACCAGTCAAATATCCACTGATCTGAGAACTCTTGAGTTCTGCTCATATTTTATTACCATTTTCTAAACTATAGCGAATAAACTGTGATAATGTGAGAAATGTTGAAGGTGTCTGAATCAATTTTGGTTTGACTGTAGCTTGAATGCAAGTCGCTTTGAATAAAATGCATGAATGCAAGGTAATGTTTGAAGTAAGGTAAGGTAAGAGTGAGTTACTTTCTCCGGTTGTCGGTGAGTGTGATTCCCTGCGAGGACACTTTAAAGTGCACTACGGTGGAGGACGGGAGCGAGTGCGTGTTCAGGATCTCACTGGTGGCCTTCTGCACCGCCTGATAACCCGTCAGAGACTCCATCTCCACCGAGCCCAGAAACCACACGTTACAGGCTGGAGAACACACAGCACACAAGCAATCTGACGTCAGAGAGACCTTAGCAGTCATCCGTCCGACTGAGGAGTCGGTCACTGATCCATGTGGGTATCGCTCAGCTATTGTCCTGAATATTGTTTGCGGATGTGTTTTGGACTCACCTGCTCCTTGTTTCAAGAGTTCAGCTGCAGAATTGGAAATGGACTGTGAAGATGCACTAACAGCCTCCTCTAGAGGATCTGAAGAGAAACAACGCTCATGTGATCAAACATCCATTCATCTAGAGCAGCGATGGGTGCTTTGTGAAGCTTCGAAACCTTTCCGAATCATTTGAAACCAGTAATTCAGAGCGTATATCAAACTAAGGGGCGATCTCTGTGAACCAATGAACCAGTGTCAATATGCGATTTCTACCTGATCTTGGATCATATTTCCCCCCTTTGTAGACATTTAATTACACATTTGTATAATATGTATAATAAGTAATATAATATAACTAAAGAGTTTTAGTTATTAGTCTCTTATTAGGCTGATTAATCAAGCTCTCCATAAAACAATCCATACAATTGAATAAAAAGAACATTATACAGACACTTTATATTTTATGGAATAAGATGATTTTGTTAATTGCATTTAATAGATTACACTGTCAACTAAATATTTTCCATTGGTTTGTAAGAGGTGATAAATGTGCTTTTGAGTTTTAGCTGCATTTACACAGTTCTGACCAGCAGGGGTCACCAGCCTGTGGAGTTTCAATGCTTCAAAACTGTGAATTGCTTTGTGAAACAATTGGTTCAATTGATTCAATGTTTTGAAAGCTTTGTTTCCCGCTTGCTTCGACTCTTTGGAGCCCCAAACACCTCTGACGTATTCAGAATATCCATGCCTGGCCACTCCCCGGACATACGGGTGTAAAAGGAGGCCAGCTTGCACCACACATTAAGCTTTTTCTGTGGAACCAAAGCATTGTGTCCCTTCTGCAAAAGAGAAGTGACTTTCCATTCATACCTCAGGTATGAGGCCTTGCCAGTGATATGGGCGCTACACTGGGAGAATTTCCGCTGGGTGAATCCTCCTGTTCCTCAGCAAGCTTGAGTCGCCAGGTTGAGTTTCTGGATGAGTTAGGCGCCTTGCCCAAGGCTGAGCTTAATTTCTCATTCGGGGCTCGTGAGGAAGATGTCAAGCACAGCATCGGAGGGTGGGCTTATGCCTTCCGCTAGCCTGGGCTTCTGGAAGAATAGTTCGAGGCTCCATTCCAAGGTGTAAGTTTACCTCATCGCTCACCGATGGCCGTCCTGCAAGTATATCAGGCCGAAGCATTGTAAGACCTGCACAAGGGTAGTCCTGATCCATATGTAGTGCAGGAACTGCGCTCAGCGACAGACTACTGGCTAGGAAGGTCATGGCGCAGGCATTGGACCCGGGTGATGTCCACACTTCTGGTCCTGGAGAACCACCTATAGCTGAACCTTGTGGAACACTTTTGAACCTTGTGCGCACTTTCTCTATGCCCCCATGGCCTAAGGTGGCTTATTCGGCGACTGTCGGGGACTACCTCAGCAGTTCTCAACAGTAAAAAAAGCAGACGGAGGCTATTAAGCACATCTTGGCTCTGCACAGGTCTATTTCTAGACCCCTGAGAGCCCGAGCTCAAGCAGTGGCTGCTCATTGCTGTGGGCGGCCCCTGTGAAGGCTAAAGCAGCCTGGACCATCAGCCAGACCTCAACGGTCCATTCACTCACTAATCAGGCCACCAGAAACCCTCGCAAGGCTTCAAAGCGGTCCTGAGACTGGTGACCCAGTGAAGGAAAAGAGGCCGCTGACCTGCCCGCCCTAGGACTGGAGGAGTTTTGTTTTCTTTTCCTTTTTGTTTCGCCAGATGCCGGATAGCCGAATACACTTTCATTGTCAGCAAAACAGCAGTTTCCTCTTTCTGTGGGTCACACTCAAACACGCCCACATCGTGTTTGGCGAACGGATCCCCTGATATGGGGAAACCTGAGGTAGTTAACCGAGGGCGCTGGAGTCTTGCCTGCATCTGCTCCGCCAAGTCTCGTGACACAGTTCAGAAGTTGTGGCATTTAGTATAGGGACCCCTAGTGTCTGACTCATTCGACACAACATCGAAGTGATAGGGAGAATCTCGATTACTGTTGTATCCTCCATTCCCTGATGGAGGGAAGGAGACATTGTGTCCCTCCTGCCACAACTCTGAACTACCGCTGAAGTGGTCGAGACACCGTTTAGTTTCCATTTAGTTCAAATGTAATAACATATAAATAAAGTTGTCCTGCTGTACCTCTGTCAGGTATGATGAGTTGGCATGGAAGAGCCAGAGGAGTGATGGAGTGCTGACAGACCAGAGCCGTCAGACTGCCTGAAGAGTAGCACACACACACACACACACACACACACAGCTGACGTGAGCAGCACTCGTATATATATATATATGAATATGACCATCTGTGGCAGGTTTGGTAGACTCACCGAAGTAGGGTTCATTGGGGCATCCCTTGAGCCGAACGCCCCTCGGGGTGCACTCGATGAGGAAGTGCCGCACCAGCTCGCTGGACGGGTCGACTCCTGAAACATCACACATATCATTATGGCCCAAAGTGATGTCGGGCTAAGGAATATTGACCATCACCATTTATTCAAATATATATATTTTGGGATTTTGTAAGCACATTGCATAGTTGTGCTTGGAGTCGATTGTTTATTTTGTGATATTGTAATGAAACTTGTCAAATTGTGGGACACATTTTTTGGCCAGAAATTATGAACGTGCAAAACAAGAGCGAACCACCAAAACAGTAATAACTGATTATGTTGTAGTCAATGTTTTTCTCATGCCATTTTTTTTTCTATGATTTTTTTGCATAGGAAAATTTAAACTGTAGCTGTAGTTTGTGATTTTTGCTTAATAATTTTGTCAGATAAATACCTTAACCAAGTTTAGTGTTATGTTGTTCCCTCATATTTAAACTATTTAAAACATATAAAGTATTTTCCTCATATTTTGATGGTTTAATTGAAGTTGTAGGGTCATTAAAAACAAACATCCCCTCCGGACATCCCTTTGGGCCTCTACTGTATATTACACTTTAACTGTTGTATAATATGCAAACAGCACACATCAGTCACGACTAGCAGATCGATATGTTCAGCATGAGCAGGTAACGATGCGCAAGGAAACGCTGGGTTTCTCTGGAGGTGTGTGTGTGTGTGTGTTTCTCTGCTCACCTCTCTTGCCCTGCTGCAGTGCCGATGGAGGCGCTGTGGACACTTTCATGGCCAGCCCGTACGCGCCGCGGAACGAGTGACTGTCCCGAACGATGAAGGAGCCGGGCTCTGTGTCCTTCAGCAACGCTATAGCTGTCAATCACAAGCCAGAGGTCAGATGAGATTCAGAAACACAAGCCAGAGGTCACGGGGTTCGCTCGTACCTTGGTCTCGTGCGATGTCTGGCTTGTACCAGTATTTGGAGGTGTCCTGGACGAAGTTCACGGTCATCTGCTTGCTGGAGAGCACCTCTGCAGCATCAGCTCGGGGGTCAGGAGCACTCGGGCACGAGCCGGTCTGCAGCTCCGGCAGCACGCTGGGAAACGGGATACTGAGCGAGCTCGCGCTGTGAGGACTGGAGAAGCCGCTGGGAGATGTAGACGCTGACCCCTGCGAGGTCTCTCCGTCGAACCCCACGAGGTTCTGAGGCGGCGGCTGGCAGTCGAGTCCCTCCAGCGCCGGGCCCAGGCTGAACATCTGCTGGAGGGCTTTGGCTCTCGGCCCGCTGAGAGGAGAGCTGTGGGCGTTCGGCGCAGGGAGGGAGTGTTGAGACGGGACAGAAGACACTGGGGCGAAGCTCACGGAGTCCGAGGGATGAGCAGAGATGGACTGTGGAGACCTGCATCAACCACAACACACACTATTGTTAACTATAAAACAAGCACTGCTGGGGCTATTCTGTTAACTCGTCTACGTTTTTAATATTAAAGGGGACATATCGTGAAAATCTGACTTTTTCCAAGTTTAAGTGCTATAATCGGGAACCCGGTGCATCTACAAACCCAGAAAACGTAAAAAAAGTGAAACCCCGTAACTTTGTTTTGGTGAGCCTTGGTGAGTCAACAAATAAGCCGATCAGATTTCACTCCCCTTCTGACGTATGAAGAGGATCTTATTATAATATTACACACGGCGCCGACATTTGGTTTCACAAGCGCCAACAGAGACCAGTTCTAACGCACTGGAGAAGATCCAGCAAAGCCTGAAACTGTTCTGTGGCTGAGTTCAACATGATGAGGAGATGATCAGTGTAACTTTGGCTAAAATCCGGCATTTTTTCATGCTTGTACTCCATGTTATGTTCATTAAAATGCACTGTCCCAATCAAATAAATAAAAATTTAAAAAACTCCACAACAACTACAGAAATGTCTCCGCTAACATTCAGAAACGTGTAAAAGTGAAGCTCTCCCTGAGTCTCTCCGTAAGGCTGCACTCGCTGCTGTTACTCCTGACTCTGGATCAGTGAGATCGGCCTGTGTTGTTATTGCCGGAGTCTCTGAAGCTCCGCCCTCTTCTGAACGGAGGCGGAGCTGCAGCTCATTTGCATTTAAAGGGGCAAATTTAACAAGCAATAATAAATCTGGAGGTCTTGTGAAAAGGGGCATAATATGTCACCTTTAATAAATCATCCAGAGCTGCAATCTGCTCTTCAGGCTGTAAAAGCCTGATTAAAGAAATAATTATGATGGCTCAATTAAAACCAAAAAAACACACTATGAAAAATATTAAAGTGCCCCTATTATGCTATTTTAAAGTTTCCTAATGTTGTTTTGGAGTCTCCTACAACAGGTGTACATGCAGCAAAGGTCAAAAAACATTTTCTTTCGTTTCATTTCCTCATAATATACATTTACACACCCCCACAATTTTAGTGATTCTCAAACGACTCGTCAGATAAATCAATCTCTCTAAATCCCTCCTTTCCGCGAGCTACTCTGCTCTGATTGGCCAGGCAGCTCAGTCTGTTGTGATTGGTCTACCGCGTACAGTGCGCCGAAAAAACAAAAACGCCCATTGTCAAAACAACGTCAGCTGTCCTGAGGCTTCCGACCCCGTAAACATGAAGACACACACTGCTTCAGTTTGCTCAACATCTTATCAAGCTTTTTCTTTGGACAAACACACAATAAAGAAGACAATGATGATGATGACTGTACCTGTAGCTGTCGGAGAAGCACATGATGTCCCCGATGGCAGGCTGGACGTGCGCTCTGTGCTGTAAAGCTTCATCTGACGCTGTGTGTCCCATAAACCCTGCAGTCTCTCTCGTGTCTAAAAGAAGAACATGCACTGCTTACATTCATATAAAACGATGAAATGTGAAGTGTTCGATAGTGGAATCAAAGCTGTACACACAGCATCAGTGTGAGACCGCATCTGTCACTCCATGCACACATTCATCAGTTTGAGTGTCACCATTAACCCGACCAATCTGTGCCATCAGTGAGTGTGTGTGGTGAACAGTGAGTGTGTGTGGTGAACAGTGAGTGTGAGATTTACCGTGTTCAGCTCTATAGGATCCGAATGAAGGAGACAGAGTCTGTCTGAACGGAGGATAGTTCATCATCACGCTCTTCCCTGGATCAACACACAACAGCAGATCAGTCACACATTAGTGCAGCAGTGTGTGTGTGAGAGTGTGTGTGTGTGTGTTTACCGTAAGGAGTGGATGGTGAGATGGGGAACGCTGGTGTTAAGGGCATCACGTCACTGCCAGTGTCCAGCGCAGTGTGAGATGAGAACTGAACACCGTCTGTACTGAACACTGCTCCACACTGACACACACACACACACACACACACACACACAATCTCTGGAGTTAACAAGCAATTCACGGTCGTGTGGAGTCGGTGTGAAGTGTTCATTACATCAACAAAAACTTTGAGGAACACAAGACGATGATGAGACGACATACACATCGTTGAACACTACCTGTGACCAAATCAACATGCAATATTGTTGACGAAAAAAGACAAGATAAAAATCAATTATATTTTCTTCAACAAAAAGAGCAGAATAAATATTATAGAGTGTTTTTATCGAGCCTCTAGAAGCTGTCGCGCTTCTGGTTGCCAGATCTCAAAGGTTTAATCTCCCAATCAGAGCTTTTCTCTGAACTGGACACATGTTCTGCCCGGTGATGTCCTTCATCACGCAGGAGAAGCACTGAGGATCTGAACACCACACACCCACACACACCCACACACACACCCACACACACACACACTGGAGTTTGATGATCTACACTGAGATATACGTGTGTTCCTTCACTGTGGTCATCAAACCTTCTCAGTGATGAACGGGGATAAACACACACATGAGCTCCACTGTATTCTGGATGCTTATACGTGACCTCTGTGTGACAATACAAAGTTTTATTAAAAAGAATTTAGAATGATTTGAGTTACTAGAAGGAATTTCACTGACTCTGCTTTTGAGATTTTAAAAATCCCCAAATCATTTTATTATAAATCAGGGAACTGGATGAGTAAATGAGTGAAATAAAGCATGCGTTCGAGTCCACATCCTCTTGATTTGTGCTTATAGGCGAAAGTGCACTGATGAAATGTAAAGAAATTTCTCTCATGACAACAATCATGATCAGTAATTACGATTTTGAGCAAAATAATTGAGATGATCAGTTTAAGCATGGTACGGCATGACTAAACCCGGAGAAAAGCCCCGTCTTTGAGGCAACTAGAACTTGACTGAACACAGTTGGAGTGAATGTGATGAAAGTAAAGGTTATTGCTGTACCTGTGTGTGTGTGTCGCGGTCAGCGCTGGGCGTCAGTGTGTGTGTGTGATCCAGAGTCCAGGACGAGTGTCCACGAGCTGCGCTGAGCTGAACACCACCTGAGGAAACACACACACACACAATCACTGAAACCGTCTGAAGCTCTGGCTCGGTTTACTGCCGCTATCAGATGTGTTTTGGTGGATCACAGGTGGACGAGAGGGACACATTCCCGCTGGCGTTTTAACCCGACTCTTCTGTCCACTTTAAACCACTTCTGTCCTGATTTCGCCGAGGGGAGGGTCTATGGGTACATTCAGAAACTGGTGTGTGTTCACACTGCACGACTATCTTTGTTAGCATTCAGTCACTGGTGTGTGTTCACTCTGCACGATGGATCTGCGACAGGAGGTTACACACTGTATGACTTTACAAGAGAGAGCGTCGCCAGCAACTTCTGTCTGATCCGCAAACTACGTTTCACAACCAAACACACGCGAGAAGTGATACGGAAATAGCGCAAGATCACGCGTGCGTCAGACCGGAGTTCTCGCGCGAGACTCAAAATTGTTATTAAAAATGATAGCCTGAAAGAAGATTGCGATCCAAATTGTCTGTGCAACAGATTCTGCAGGAGGACATGTCTGGGGAGACACAGGGAGCAAGGATTATGTTCTGCAAAGAGAGTTGGGGGTAAATAAATATATCTCTTAAAGGAACACTCCGACCTTTGGGGACTTTAGCCTATTCACCACGGCACGTCTCAGGTGCTGCGGTTATCACTCCGCCCAAGTAGCAGTGCTTCGCCTTCAGAGAATATAGTTCCCAGTATTTATACGGTTAAAATATGTCTGTGTCTCATGTGACTTTGTTTTTTGTACACTCTGTGACTATACAAATCACAACATGTAAATAGGAAAATGTTTGCGTTATTTTGTCACTTATTGGGATTAGTATGCTAGCTGCAACCATTTACATCCAGTCTTTGTGCTAAGCTAGGCTAGCGGTGGGTGCGTCAGACAGACTTATAGCACGCACGGAGATGAGGAGGGTATGTATGGACTTATCTAACTCTGGGGGATACGGTGAATAGGCTAAAGTCCTAAAGTGTTCCTTTAAAATACTGATATTCTGGTCTATAACATCCCGCTGTCCTATTCCTTATCCGATCAACAAAGACGCATCTTAACACCAGGCTAACCTGAGCTGATCTGCAATACTGTGGGTCAACAGCTGGATACACACATCACAGTACATGTGAAGACGACTGACAGCACAAACACAGTGACTGCACTCTTCGGTAACGCTTCCTTTTACAGTCCTGTTACCCATGTACTTACTATGTACTTATTATAGTAACTATTAGGGCTGTCAACTTTAGTCGTTTAGTCGACTAATCGGTCGATGCCATCTTGGTCGACTGACATTCTTATTGGTCAACCAGTTGTATTTTTTTTTTATTTTTTTTACCAATAGAAAGAAATTTTCAATGATTTACTCCTTGATATTTATTCCTTTATAAGCAGTTATATATTACTGTATTCTAAAATAATTAGCCTATGGTTTATCCCCAACTTTAAATGCTTTAATTTAGGCTATTTTGTAACAGCGCCACAGTTTAGCGCACACACATAGAACACTCGGTTCCCCCCTGTGGCTGGCTGCGCTGCTGCTTCGTGCTCAGTAAGGGATATAGGTAGTTTAGCTGTATTCATTCAGTTAGAATGCTACTTGTTTCGGTTTTTATGTTTTTATACACTATATGTTTTTATCTCGATGCGGCGTGGACGCACTTGGAAAAAAAAGCGTTGCTTCCATCGTTGCTTCCATCATGAGCGCGCACACCGCGCGCCTACATTTGAAATCGAACTTGAGCGCGCAAAAGACGTGAGCAGTCCCTTTAACGGCTTTATCATGCTGACTCAATAGATTGTGTTTTCTTGATATGTTTTTGTTTTTATTTGTACACTTGATGCATTTGAAAATAGCCTAAATAATGTAACAAAACGAAAATAAACCTATATGCGGTCCTACAATACAGCCTATTATTAGGATTGTTTTTAAGGCTCTTTGGGTTTTTTTGTCTGTTTGTTTTAAAACTCCTAGATCGGCTGGACAAAAGTTAACCCATAGCTTTGAAAGACAAGTAAAGAAGAATATAGGCTACAGCCTGTAAACGAGAGCTTTTGTTAGGATTTTTCATTGTGGCAGATAGTAGTTATATTTTGTGTAGCGTGTGGTGTGGTCAGGTGCGCGATTGTGACTGTTAGCCTACTATAGACCTAGGACAGAGCTCCTAACTTTGCAGTTAAAAAAAAATCACTTAATTTTAAAAGAATTGTATTATTATTATAGTTTTATGTATTTTTGATGTTTTTTCGTTGTTGTTTTATAAATGCTATGACAATTGTTAAAAAATGTTCAATCAAAACATCGTGTTTTTTTTTTTTTTTTTTTTTTTTTTTTTTAGTCGACTAATCGTTGCGCAGGACAGGACTTTGGTCGACTAAGGATTTCTTTGGTTGACTACAGCCCTAGTAACTATAATTACTGGGTAATAACTAGGTACTAACCCTGAACCTACCCCTAACCCATGTACTTACCTTATATTAGCCAGTACTTTCTAGGTAAGTACACTGTAAGTACACGTAAGTACTGTACTGTAAAAGGAAGCGTTACCCACTCTTCTTCACACAGATTCACAATCATTGTATTTATTAAGGCAAGACATTTGCTTCATGTTAACTCTTTCAGGCTTATTTTATGATAATGACCAGATAAATATATAAATTCTGTGCTTGTTTGTGTCACACTCCGATTCACAGGTTTCCTAGCTGCAACTCACAGGTTTCCAGGTTAAACCCCTGAAAAGGCCGTTACTGGACCTCATGTTGAGCATGTTTGATCATGACCGTACCCGTCTGCCGACTCCTCTCTCTGTCCCCGGTGCTGTCCGGGGCTGAGCTGGGTTTGGTGGAGATGGGCACGAAGCTGGGGTCCAGGTCCAGAATGAGCTGGTTGAGCTGGTGAATGGAGTTGTCGATGTCCAGTGTGAGTGAGCTGAACTCCTCGTCGTGTTTGTGGTCCGGCTCCTGGATCCGCGGGGTCTCAGGCCTCACCGCAGGCTCTTTCTGCTCTGGAAACAGCCACATGACCGACATTTATACGGGTCTAGTCCAAAATCATGGTTTAAACCGCTTTGTTCAGTTTGTCTAAGAGCAAATTAACACTCCCCATAGAGAAAAGGAAAATAAACCACTGACTTTAAATAGTATTTTATCTTTTTTTTTCACCTCCACCCCCCCTCTTCGGAGGACAACTTTATTTATTTTTTTATTTATTTTTTATTACAGAAACTGTAATATCTTTTTTAAGTACATATACAATATGTTATATTCGGATTACATTTATAATCAGTACCTTTAACTGTTGTCCTACCATAAACTTAGATAAAATAGATAAAATAGTATTTCATCTTGATGTGCACAACGGATACTGGCAGCTTTACTGACTGCAGAAATGATTGCGGGTTTTATTGTTTTCTATGATTTTTTTTATGATGCATATTTTGAGATCACAAGAAGCATTAAAATCCCCCATGTAGTCATTAATTTTATCCCTTAAAACTCATCTTTGATCACCAAAATTACATATTTAAACGTTTTCCTTGGAAAAAAAATCCGTCATACCTTGAAATAGTTTGAATGTAACTCGACACCCTTGCCTCATTTAGTATGCGCGGTTCTATGAATATGCAAATGAGCCCCGCCTCCACTCCCTCACTCACTCAGAGATCCACTGGTTGACGAGCACACGTTGATCTGATTGGTTACAAGGTCGTTTGTGACGTCAGAAACACCAGCGATTTCAAACCGTGTTTTTGAGACTGTCTTTGGTTCACTGCAGTTTAAAGCAGGAAATACTCAGCAATGCTGTCGACTTATGAACTTACACATGTGTGTCTTAAAGCATATTAAAAACACCACATAGACACTTAAACAACATTAAACGCTGGATTTTCACCACAGGGGGACTTGTCGAACTTTACTTTCGTATTACAGCTAATTTAAGTTTAAGCTTTAGTTTAAGGTGAAATTAAGTTGTAAAAAGCCCCAAAGTTATTATATTGACCTGCATTAAGTAACTGTCAAGATTCCCTGTGTTTAGAGTTCTTTGACTTTTATTTTGATATTCTTTTGTCTTGCTGTGCCTGTGTTCTCTCTCTGCATTTTCCCTATCTGCCTTTGTTTCCATAGTTACTATTGTTTGTTACTATGACAATTAATTAGTCTCACCTGTACTTTTTTATCAGTCAAATTAATTTTTACTTTGTTTATATAGTTTTTCTTTTTTTCCAACAAACATAAGGATACAAACAAAAAAATCAAGTTTAAATACAAATACAAAAATAAGATGAGTCTTACGACAACTCGAGGTATCGCACACCGGACGCGCACTTTCTCAGTTTATGGCCAGCAGTATTATTATGTTTAAGGACATTATGAAATTAAGATAATGTCTGTACTATGTTATGATTGTACTGTACAATTAAATACAATAGTTGCTGAGTCTGTGATCTGAACACTTTTCCTCAGAGCATCCATTAACTGAATGAATTGAGAATATCAACTGAAAATCCGATAACATCAGCAATTTTCATTCAAGCAACTGATTTCTGTATATAAATGTAAAACTAAATGTATATTGCAGCACAGGGTGAAGTCATTTACGATGATTTGAGACAAATATAATGTAAATTTAATATAAAACTATGTAAATGGCGCTCTGTGTCACGGCAGGATTATTGCCACACTCTAAATTAACACGATGCTTAGAATATCACGATTATAGTCAACACCGGTATATTGCGACACCCCTATGTAAAGCTGTTGTTTCTTTTTTCCTTCAACTTTTTGCTCAAAATGTTGCTTTTTTTATGAAACTTACCCACATTTAAGTGTTGATAAAAAAAAATAAAAAAATGCATGACACTAGAATAAAACAGGTATTTTGTTTAAAGGTCCCATGACATGGGGTTATTTTATTATTTTATAATGTTTCCTGGGTTGCCCTTATAATGTTAGTATGTTTTTTAGATAAAAAATAGCCTGATTTTAGCCTCTGATTGAACGCTCTGTTTGAAGGGGCGTGTCTGCTGTGGGATTCAGTGGAACCGCCCACTGCTGTGATTGGCTGTGAGTCTTCAGTGGAACCGCCCACTGCTGTGATTGGCTGACATGCTTGCATATGAAATGGCTACGTATTACATGCGAATCTTTCTCGAATACTTTTACTACAGCTATTATACGTGTTTACTATTACAGCTATCGAGATTAACGAATCGTGAGAAGTTTTGAAAGTATTTAGATCTATTCCCATCACATAAAAGGTTGCCGTGATGAGCATTGAGCAGATGACAGTGTGTTGATCGCGAGCATGAAGATCTTATCATTGCAACACAGTTTCTGCACTCTCTAATGCTTTCACCAATGCAAACACGATGATGTAAATACAGTAAGAGCTTCGTTGTGCAGTGTAACGTGCGTCCTTGATTTCATAACCAGTTGTCCAGATAAACTCGCGCTGTGTGGAAAGATTGTTCTTTGATCGCCTTCTGTATAATTTGTTCACAATTTAAATACGATTATTTTCATCCTACTAAAAGAAACTATGTGAAGTTGATATTTTAGTCACTGGCTTGACTTACTGATGCATAAACAGTATTGAACCATTTTGAGAGAAAGATTACCTGTTTGAACTTGAACAATTAGGCTACACATCAGAAATTGTTGCTTGGTAGATTTATTTTCAGACGTTCATCGAGGCCAGCTCTGTATTGGCCCAAGTTGAGGAAACAGTCGTCGGTGAAATGTTTGGACCATACTAAACTTTGGGAAGTTGTGTCGGCGCAGGAGATTCAAGATCAGCGCGTCTGAGCTCAAATTTCTAGCCACTGGGGGATCATATACAGGCTAGGAACTCATATTAATGTTAAAAAAACCTCAGTAAGTGAAAATTTCATGTCATGGGACCTTTAAAAGCAGAGGATCTGTTCTTTCTTTTGATATATTGCATGTTAAGATATACATTCAACAGAATATTCGGGGGGCCTTGACGCTTTTGTGAAAAGGTTTGAACCAAAGCATAACTGTAACGAGAGAAAGCTGCGTGTGCTGACCGGTGTGTTTGGGCAGGAGCCCCTGCGTGTGGCTGTGGAAGCGCTGCTCGCCGGCGTCCTCCTCTGGCAGGTACAGGTACTGCTGTGCCGTGACCAGCTGCTGCTGATGGACCCAGGTCTGCGTGGAGTATCCCCCGTGCGGGAACGGGTGCCTGGGACCCGGAGAGCCGGCGGGGAGGGACGCGCCTCTGTGAGCGGCTCTCCGCTCGTACTTGTCCACAGCCGCCGTGTGCGTCTCCTCCGTTCGCCCGGGGCTGCCGAAGCCGTCCGACAGCAGAGAGTTCTGGCTGCTCTTGTGACAGGACGAGGAGAGCGTGCCCAGGCTGTCTGCGCTGTGCAGGTCGTGCCGCGAGCTCAGGACTTCGTCGTCCAGGATGTCGGTCTCACGCTCCTTGGGCCGCGAGCGCCCGTTCAGGTGATTCTGCGGGGGGGCTCGGCTCGCCTCGTCCAGGCCGAAGCCGCTGAGCAGCCGCTTGAGCTCCACCCGCTCCTGCCGGCTGGGCTGAGGCGCTCGGGGCCCCGGGGTGGGCCAGCAGTCGGGGGCGCTGGAGAGGCCGGAGTCGGTGCTGGCCGAGAGCGTGTGGTCGGGGCTCCGCGGGGCTCCCGAGGGGGTGGAGCCTCTGCTGACGTCACGCTTCACCAGTCGCTCCAGGATCGGACCCGCTGAGGGGACAAACACACCTCACTCAACACGCTAAACACTGCATGAAGGAAACAAGCAAGACATCTCACACTGCTCATGCATTTAGGGCCTGTTTACACCTGGTCACTTCATGTGTTTTTACTGATCAGATATCTATCTGATTTATCAAAATGATTCCATTTACACCTGGAATAGGGCGGGGCCGTTCTTCCATATATGGAGACTGGAATATAAGGACAGGGGCGGGGCATGAGAGAAGAGGACGGGGCTGTACTTCCATATATGGAGATAGAATATAAGGACAGGGGGCGGAGCATGAGAGAATAGGGCGGGGCCGTTCTTCCATATATGGAGACTGGAATGGACAGGGGCGGGGCATGAGAGAAAAGGGCAGGGCTGTTCTTCCATAAATGGAGATTGGAATGTGAGGACAGGGGCGGGGCATGAGAGAAGAGGGCGGGGCTGTTTTACCATATATGGAGATTGGAATGTAAGGAAAGGGCGGGGCATGAGAGAAGAGGGCGGGGCTGTTCTTCCATATATGGAGATAGAATATAAGGACAGGGGGCGGAGCATGAGAGAATAGGGCGGGGCCGTTCTTCCATATATGGAGACTGGAATGGACAGGGGCGGGGCATGAGAGAAGAGGGCAGGGCTGTTCTTCCATAAATGGAGATTGGAATGTAAGGACAGGGGCGGGGCATGAGAGAAGAGGGCGGGGCTGTTTTTACCATATATGGAGATTGGAATGTAAGGACAGGGCGGGGCATGAGAGAAGAGGGCGGGGCTGTTCTTCCATATATGGAGATAGAATATAAGGACAGGGGGCGGAGCATGATATAATAGGGCGGGACCGTTCTTCCATATATGGAGACTGGAATGTAAGGACAGGGGCGGAGCATGAGAGAATAGGGCGGGGCCGTTCTTCCATATATGGAGACTGGAATGGACAGGGGCGGGGCATGAGAGAAGAGGGCAGGGCTGTTCTTCCATAAATGGAGATTGGAATGTAAGGACAGGGGCGGGGCATGAGAGAAGAGGGCGGGGCTGTTTTACCATATATGGAGCTTGGAATGTAAGGACAGGGCGGGGCATGAGAGAAGAGGGCGGGGTTGAGGATGTGTTATCTGACACTACGGTCCACCTCTGAAGGGATCAGTCAACATACAACAAACAGTCATACACTGAAAATACTGAAAGTGCTGAGACATGCAGTTCATTACAGGGGCTCAGGGTTTGACTGGTACATTTCTACCAGCTATTCTGACAGCTATTAAAAATGTCTGTATATTATTTTTTTTTTAATTGTAAGCAACATTAAACACTAATATTTATTTATATTATATAAGATGTTTTATCAGAGTTTGTGTCTATATATTGTATGAGTACTGGCCTCGTTTTAGGGCAGGCAACTTATGATAAACTCTGATTCATTGCTAGAATTATATGGCTTTCAATTGTACCACCTGTACTATTATAGTGGATATCATTACATTGATCAAGAAGACTACTATATTAACATTGTATAAACTAATACAATATATTGTTATAACCCTACTTATAACTTTTGGTTACAAGTATGGCTATAGTAAAATATGCAGGGACTGGATATGCCATCCAATAGCTTGACTGTTCTTTGACTACAGGAAGTCATTCTTTACAGTGCAGAGGATCATTGGAAAGAATCGGTTCACAACATTGACTGGTTCATGAATCAGACGTCACTCAGAGGAACTGAAACATGAGGCTGTCCTGTAAAGCTGAGATGAGAAATGACAAAGCAGAGCAGTTCTTCAATCCGAAGATGAAAGCAAACTTCTTCCACAACTAACAGGTCTTCCAGGCCTTCAATTAACAGAGGCTGGATTCCCTCGCTCATTGCTGAGAGCAGATGTGCTCAGCGCGTAGAGGAACGTCCGGGTTCAGCATGAGTTCAGCTCCATCTGTGTTCATTAACACACAACATACCTTTACTGTCCACCAGTGTGAGAACAAGCCACTGACAGCTGAAGAGAGAAAACTCAGCAACTGAGCAGGTTTCAAAGCAGAAATACCAAGCGCAGATTTTTATTAAAGCACTCAAACGTTAATGGGATTGAACCCAGAATCTTCTTTAAAGCGCTCACTGAAACATCTAAGCAGCGTTCAGTTAGAGTCATTCTAGCATTTCACCTAGTTTGCAAAAAAAGTGCATTAATTTCTTGGCTTCCAGACGCATCTTGAGGGAGGCCGTGGGAGGAAGTTATATGGATTTCTCCTTGTGTTTTGTCATCCGAAGCAGCCAGAATTAGCCAGCGAAAACAAAACACTGTAATTATAATTCCAGTCCCTCTTCCTGCCAAAGCCTCAGCATCACAACTGTGTGAGTCAACACCAGTTCAGCTAAACACACACTGCGCTGACCAACACACTGCTGTCACTGTACGAAACAAGCAGGACTGAACCGTATAAAGCTTCATTATAATGCCGGCTCAGGGGCCTCATTTATAAAACTGTGCCCAGGATCCTTACTAAAAGTGTATGTGCGCCCGAAAGCCAAAAATGGCGTACGCAAAAAATTATACAGACTTATAAAACCGTGCGTACGCCAAAACCTGAGCAGAATTCCCTTTATAAACCCCAGTCAGCGGAAGATTGTGGGCACATGCGTCTCCACCCCGAAATAACCGTATATGAGCTTACAACGCCTAGTTTTACTATGCATATCCTCATCTGCATATCATTTGCATATGATTATTCATCCACGTGATAACATGTTTAATGGTACAAGACATTAGGAAAATATGAGATATGGATGTGCCTCACATTACATTGATAAAAATCATTTAGTAGCCTATCCTTGCCTTGTTTTTCAATAAATAAATCAAATAGTGTAAAATACATTTCAGAGAAAGTTTTTCTCAATCTTTTCCACTGGCCAAATAGTATTTTTAATTTATTTATAATTTTAATGGAAACAGAAAGACCTTGTTGGGCATTATTTGCTCAGATTGCACAGACAATCTGCTATTATCATGATCAGCCATTCTCTCTGTAGTTAAAACATTAAAACACAGAATGCCAGAGGAAAAGTGTTCAAAAGCATTGCATCCATAACAAATATTTATATTTATTGAATATAAATAAATGTTATAAAAAACTTCTCAGTAATGATTTCATGTAGATTAAGTGTTTAACTCCATTAATGAGAATGGCATATTTAATCTAAATGTGTATATCAGAAGTAAAACATAGTTTAAATCATTCTTTTATTTATTTAAACTGTTATTGTGAACATGCACTGTATTTATGATAAAGACTCATAATGAAGATTTACGGTTCTACTACTTCATCTGCTGTTAGATATAGGCTATATATATATATGTGTCAGTTAAGTTTCACTAAACGGCCCAACGCCCAACCAAAAAGACATTTAACTCCTAATTTAAATTAGGATTCACACTAGAATTCACACTAGGATTCAAACTAGCATTCACACTAGGATTCAAAGTAGGATTCGCACTAGAATTCACACTAGGATTCAAACTAGGATTCACACTAGAATTCACAGTAGAATTAAAACTAGGATTCACAGTAGAATTAACACTAGGATTCACAGTAGAATTCACACTAGGATTCACAGTAGAATTCACACTAGTATTCAAACTAGGATTCAAACTAGGATTCACAGTAGAATTAAAACTAGGATTCACAGTAGAATTAAAACTAGGATTCACACTAGAATTTACACTAGGATTCAAACTAGGATTCAAAGTAGGATTCACACTAGAATTCACACTAGGATTCAAACTAGGATTCAAAGTAGGATTCACACTAGACTTCACACTGGGATTCAAACTAGGATTCACACTAGGATTGACAGTAGAATTAAAACTAGGATTCACAGTAGAATTAAAACTAGGATTCAAACTAGGATTTACACTAGGATTCAAAGTAGGATTCACACTAGAATTCACACTAGGATTCAAACTAGGATTCACACTAGAATTCACACTAGGATTCAAACTAGGATTCACACTAGGATTGACAGTAGAATTAAAACTAGGATTCACAGTAGAATTAAAACTAGGATTCAAACTAGGATTTACACTAGGATTCACAGTAGAATTCACACTAGGATTCACAGTAGAATTCACACTAATATTCAAACTAGGATTCAAACTAGGATTCACAGTAGAATTAAAACTAGGATTCACAGTAGAATTAAAACTAGGATTCACACTAGAATTCACACTAGGATTCAAACTAGGATTCAAAGTAGGATTCACAGTAGAATTAAAACTAGGATTCACAGTAGAATTAAAACTAGGATTCACAGTAGAATTCACACTAGTATTCAAACTAGGATTCAAACTAGGATTCACAGTAGAATTAAAACTAGGATTCACAGTAGAATTAAAACTAGGATTCACAGTAGAATTCACACTAGGACTCAAACTAGGATTCAAACTAGGATTCACAGTAGAATTAAAACTAGGATTCACAGTAGAATTAAAACTAGGATTCACAGTAGAATTAACACTAGGATTCACAGTAGAATTCACACTAGTATTCAAACTAGGATTCAAACTAGGATTCACAGTAGAATTAAAACTAGGATTCACACTAGGATTCAAACTAGGATTCACACTAGGATTCACACTAGAATTCACACTAGGATTCAAACTAGGATTCACACTAGAATTCACACTAGAATTCACACTGGGATTCACACTGGGATTCACACTGGGATTCACACTGGGATTCAAACTAGGATTCACACTGGGATTCACACTAGGATTCACACTAGGATTCACAGTAGAATTAAAACTAGGATTCACAGTAGAATTAACACTAGGATTCACACTAGGATTCACAGTAGAATTAACACTAGGATTCACACTAGGATTCACAGTAGAATTCACACTAGGATTCAAATTAGGATTCACACTAGGATTCACAGTATAATTAAAACTAGGATTCACAGTAGAATTAAAACTAGGATTCAAACTAGGATTCAAAGTAGGATTCAAACTAGGATTCACACTAGAATTCACACTGGGATTCAAACTAGGATTCAAAGTAGGATTCAAACTAGGATTCAAACTAGGATTCACACTAGGATTCACACTAGGATTCACACTAGGATTCACACTAGGATTCACAGTAGAATTAAAACTAGAATTAACACTAGGTCTGGTGATCTGGTCAAATCACTTCACTAACTATGAGCAATAGTAGTGCACTTCCCTAAGGAAGCAGCACTAAAATCAAACTATTCTAACATTAGTTTTCCTGTACTGTTTCCTCTAGCCCTTATAAACAGAGGCAGAGCTCAGGACGAGATGCTGAATTCCTGTGAGCTTTAGGCGTCTGCGTGTGAAAACAAGGCCTGGCGTCTGCCGCAGGAATGCACAGCTGTCTGTTTGTGCTTGATCAAACCCTCTTTATTAAAGGTGCTGCAACTAGTTTCATCAATGTGTTTTATGCAAAACAGCTGTGATTGTGGCCAAACTATTCCTGTGTCTGCTAGTTTAAGCAGGGTGTGAGTTCTGTCCTGCCATAAGCCTCACCGCAGTCAGGAAAACATGCTGGACTTCTGGGGTGGTTTTAGTGTGTGTGTGTGTGTGTGTGTGTAACAGCACAGCCACAGTACAGAAAAAGACTGAGTTTTGCCCAACTATGCAACACAATAAATTGAAGTAGTGTTCAGAGGCAGCAAGTGCTATACAGTATACAGTATATATAGGGCTGCCCTCGACTAAAAATATTTTCTAGTCGTTCATTTAATCAATTAGTCGACTAATCACACGTTTATATTAATAAGCCATAAATCATAATAATGAGCCTTTAATTGCCTATACATAGCCTAATCAGTGCTCAAACGCAGGCATATATTTTGCCACAGAGCGCCGACAAATGTGATAATTATGAAAAAACAGAAGGAGACTGTTTAAACATTTAAATAATTTATTGATAATGGTTTCTATGTTTTCGTCTGCAGAGATTAAGTCAACGATGCTGACCCGTCATCTATATGCATGTTCATATGGATTACATAATCTGAGAATATTTATTTTCCATTTGAATTGGTTGATTTAAAAGTAGACATTTCAAGCTTTCTATAGATATATTTCTCATGTCTGTGAGGCAAGTATACACTGAGTTTCGGTTCATTTATGTGATGCGCTGAAGTTCACTGAGACCGAGACGGCAGAAAGTGTCATTATTTTATAAAAGCACAACGTTTTGTAGTTATTGTGAGTTTACAAAAAATAAAAATAGACCATTTACAGTTTGTATTACTCTTATCTGAATGACCAAGAATGAGGGAGTATTTTAAGTTAAATGCAGGGATGCGCCTGTATATCGTGCAGTAAGTGGCTCTCCACACACACACTTAGATATGAGCCTAATAATAGCGCACATTTATCTCTGTTAGCATTAGAGCGAGCAGACTTGTAAAGTTGCTACTACTCACATGTTTCAAGTGATAAGCCATATTTGAGGTGGATGAACGACAGGCGAATGTTTGTATTTCCTGCCGGTAACGATCTGTCCGTTACAGCCTGCGGGATTTCACCACTTCCTGTGGAGTTCTTTTTCTGCAACTAATCGACTAATAACATTTTGGTCGACCAAACCTCTTCTAGTCGACTAACGGTTGCACATGCACTATAAAACTGGAGGAAGTGAACATGTGCTTCAGTCAGGACCTAAAGGCTCATACAGTAACAACAGTGACAATACTAGTATCAGAAATGGCTTAAATAAATATCAAATTACCAGTCCCTCAATAAAAGTCTCTCCTTCAGGGGAGCAAATGACAGTATGAGTGAGTCATTGAATCATTCACTCAACTGATTCATTCAAAAAAATCAATTCAGCAATAAAACAAGTGACTGTGTTTATGGGTAAGTCATTGAATCATTCACTCAACCACATTAGTGTAGCCAGAGCTCAAGTGAATGTCCTTTACATATAATCATCTGGATCCTCCCTACCTTCACTGCAGATGTTCCCATACGAGTCCCATTTAGAGAGTGAATCTGTGCTGGTGTAGTCGACCGTCACATCTGGACCGTTCAGCCAGCGCTCTGAACCTGTCAATCACACAACAGAGAGATGCTGATCCAAAGTCAGCTGTGAAGCAGCTCTAGAAGACAATAGAGTCATTATTCAGATCAATTCAGTACAAGTTTTGTTCAGGACATGAAGTGCAAACGAGCGCGTCAGGCTCTGATGTGGAGAAACGCTAGCATTCAACAACTTCAGGATTAGCTGACAACAATAAATTACAAACGAACCTGAAATCGGTTCTGGGCCATCAGAGAACACTAGCTCCACTTTGCCATAATCTGGAAACCTGGAGTCTGAAGAGAAACATCAGAATATCAACAGATGCTGAAACCCTGTGATACTGTGGATCTCAGTCTACAGAGCCCGTGTACTAAACCCAACACCGCATTTAAGGACAAAATACACTTTACTAACAAGACACTCGCTTTAACATTTAGACAAAGAGAAAATATCAGCATTTCATTTATTTATAGCCTATATTCGCTGTATGAATGCTGCATATGTTTGTACTTTAGTTTTAGGCCTTCAGGCTATATATCACAATCCTATAGAAGCTGGTTTTTGCAACAAAAAACAACTTTTTTCCCCTTGCAATTACGAGTTTATATGTAAACTTTGAATTGTGAGATAAAAAGTCATGTTAACACTTTTTTCTTTAGATATTCTTCTACCTATCAGTAACTTTGCAACTACTACCTCTACACGTCAACTTATTGTACTAACTGAACCCTGCACCTATCCCTGACACTACAGTCCAGTAATACTCTAATGAGAGTTCGTTGACATGTAGTTGCAAAGTTACTTATAGTTAGTAGAAGGAAGTGGAGCATCGGAAAAGAGTGTAACCTTATTTACAAGCTTCCATGTAAGGCAAGCCAAGTTAATTTATATAGCACATTTTATATGGTAATTCAAAGTGCTTTACACAGAAAGGAATTAAAATAATCACAAAATAAAAGCAAGGAAAATTAAAACAGTTATAAAAGGAACTAAAAGAGTAAAAAGATGATACACAGATAAACAGGTGAGCTTCAGGTGACCTGCGCTGACCTTTGTTGGCGTGCTCCATGTCGTCCTTCTGAAACACGAGGCTGTAGGCCTGAACCGCTCCCGTGTGGAACTGAACCCTGAACATAACGTCTCTCTCGGACCGGCTGCTCTGACGGAAGCCTTTCACCTGCAGACAGAGAACCATCATGAGGAACACACTGAGAACCATCATGAGGAACACACAGAGAACCATCATGAGGAACATACTGAGAACCATCATGAGGAACACACAGAGAACCATCATGAGGAACACACTGAGAACCATCATGAGGAACACACAGAGAACCATCATGAGGAACATACTGAGAACCATCATGAGGAACACACAGAGAACCATCATGAGGAACACACAGAGAACCATCATGAGGAACACACAGAGAACCATCATGAGGAACACACAGAGACCATCATGAGGAACACACAGAGAACCATCATGAGGAACACACTGAGAACCATCGACACACAGAGAACCATCATGAGGAACACACTGAGAACCATCGACACACAGAGACCATCCTGAGGAACACACAGAGAACCATCATGAGGAACACACAGAGAACCATCATGAGGAACACACAGAGACCATCATGAGGAACACTTAGAGACCATCATGAGGAACACAGAGAGACCATCATGAGAAACACACAGAGAACCATCATGAGAAACACACAGAGAACCATCATGAGAAACACACAGAGAACCATCATGAGGAACACTCAGAGACCATCATGAGGAACACAGAGAGAACCGTCAACACACAGAGAACCATCATGAGGAACACACTGAGAACCATCGACACACAGAGAACCATCATGAGGAACACACAGAGACCATCATGAGGAACACACAGAGACCATCATGAGGAACACACAGAGAACCATCATGAGGAACACACAGAGACCATCATGAGGAACACACTGAGAACCATCATGAGGAACACACAGAGAACCATCATGAGGAACACACTGAGAACCATCATGAGGAACACACAGAGACCATCATGAGGAACACACTGAGAACCATCATGAGGAACACACAGAGACCATCATGAGGAACACACTGAGAACCATCATGAGGAACACACAGAGACCATCATGAGGAACACACAGAGAACCATCATGAGGAACACACAGAGACCATCATGAGGAACACACTGAGAACCATCATGAGGAACACACAGAGACCATCATGAGGAACACACTGAGAACCATCATGAGGAACACACAGAGACCATCATGAGGAACACACTGAGAACCATCAGGAGGAACACACAGAGACCATCATGAGGAACACACAGAGAACCATCATGAGGAACACACAGAGACCATCATGAGGAACACACAGAGAACCATCATGAGGAACACACAGAGAACCATCATGAGGAACACACAGAGACCATCATGAGGAACACACAGAGACCATCATGAGGAACACACAGAGACCATCATGAGGAACACACAGAGAACCATCATGAGGAACACACAGAGAACCATCATGAGGAACACACAGAGACCATCATGAGGAACACACAGAGAACCATCATGAGGAACACACAGAGAACCATCATGAGGAACACACAGAGACCATCATGAGGAACACACAGAGAACCATCATGAGGAACACACAGAGAACCATCATGAGGAACACACAGAGACCATCATGAGGAACACACAGAGACCATCATGAGAAACACACAGACAACCATCATGAGAAACACACAGAGACCATCATGAGAAACACACAGAGAACCATCATGATAAACACACAGAGAAACATCATGAGGAACAAACAGAGACCATCATGAGGAACACAGAGACCATCACGAAAAACACACAGAGAACCATCATGAGGAACACACAGAGAACCATCGACACACAGAGACCATCATGAGGAACACACAGAGACCATCATGAGGAACACACAGAGACCATCATGAGGAACACAGAGACCATCATAAGGAACACACAGAGAACAAACATGAGGAACACAGAGACCATCATGAGAAACACACAGAGAACCATCATGAGAAACACACAGAGAACCATCATGAGGAACACACAGAGACCATCATGAGGAACACACAGAGAACCATCATGAGGAACACACTGAGAACCATCGACACACAGAGACCATCATGAGGAACACACAGAGAACAAACATGAGGAACACACTGAGAACCATCGACACACAGAGACCATCATGAGGAACACACAGAGAACAAACATGAGGAACACAGAGACCATCACGAGAAACACACAGAGAACCATCATGAGAAACACACAGAGAACCATCATGAGGAACACACAGAGACCATCATGAGGAACACACAGAGAACCATCATGAGGAACACACAGAGACCATCATGAGGAACACACTGAGAACCATCGACACACAGAGACCATCATGAGGAGCACAGAGACCATCATGAGGAACACACTGAGAACCATCGACACACAGAGACCATCATGAGGAACACACAGAGACCATCATGAGGAACACACAGAGACCATCATGAGGAACACACAGAGACCATCATGAGAAACACAAAGAGACCACCATGAGCAACACACAGAGAACCATCATGAGGAACACACAGAGACCATCATGAGGAACACACTGAGAACCGTCGACACACAGAGACCATCATGAGGAACACACAGAGAACAAACATGAGGAACACAGAGACCATCATGAGAAACACACAGAGAACCATCATGAGAAACACACAGAGAACCATCATGAGGAACACACAGAGACCATCATGAGGAACACACAGAGAACCATCATGAGGAACACACAGAGACCATCATGAGGAACACACAGAGACCATCATGAGGAACACACAGAGAACCATCATGAGGGACACACAGAGACCATCATGAGGAACACACAAAGACCATCATGAGGAACACAGAGACCATCATGAGGAACACAAAGAGAACCATCATGAGGAACACACAGAGACCATCATGAGGAACACACAGAGAACCATCATGAGGAACACACAGAGACCATCATGAGGAACACACAGAGACCATCATGAGGAACACACAGAGACCATCATGAGGAACACAGAGACCATCATGAGGAACACACAGAGACCATCATGAGGAACACACAGAGAACCATCATGAGGAACACAGAGACCATCATGAGGAACACACAGAGAACCATCATGAGGAACACACAGAGAACCATCATGAGGAAAACACAGAGAACCATCATGAGGAACACACAGAGACCATCATGAGGAACACAGAGAACCATCATGAGGAACACACAGAGACCATCATGAGGAACACACAGAGACCATCATGAGGAACACAGAGAACCATCATGAGGAACACACAGAGAACCATCATGAGGAACACAGAGACCATCATGAGGAACACACAGAGACCATCATGAGGAACACACAGAGACCATCATGAGGAACACACAGAGACCATCATGAGGAACACAGAGAACCATCATGAGGAACACACAGAGAACCATCATGAGGAACACAGAGACCATCATGAGGAACACACTGAGAACCATCGACACACAGAGACCATCATGAGGAACACACAGAGACCATCATGAGGAACACACTGAGAACCATCATGAGGAACACACAGAGACCACCATGAGGAACACACAGAGAACCATCATGAGGAACACACAGAGACCATCATGAGGAACACACTGAGAACCATCATGAGGAACACACAGAGACCATCATGAGGAACACACAGAGACCATCATGAGGAACACACAGAGAACAAACATGAGGAACACAGAGACCATCATGAGAAACACACAGAGAACCATCATGAGAAACACACAGAGAACCATCATGAGGAACACACAGAGACCATCATGAGGAACACACAGAGAACCATCATGAGGAACACACTGAGAACCATCGACACACAGAGACCATCATGAGGAACACACAGAGAACAAACATGAGGAACACACTGAGAACCATCGACACACAGAGACCATCATGAGGAAAACACATAGAACAAACATGAGGAACACACAGAGACCATCATGAGGAACACAGAGACCATCATGAGGAACACACAGAGAACCATCATGAGGAACACACAGAGAACCATCGTGAGGAACACACATAGGAACCATCATGAGGAACACACAGAGACCATCATGAGGAACACAGAGACCATCATGAGGAACACAGAGACCATCATGAGGAACACACAGAAAACCATCATGAGGAACACACAGAGAACCATCATGAGGAACACACAGAGACCATCATGAGGAACACACAGAGAACCATCATGAGGAACACACAGAGACCATCATGAGGAACACACTGAGAACCATCGACACACAGAGACCATCATGAGGAACACACTGAGAACCATCGACACACAGAGACCATCATGAGGAACACACAGAGACCATCATGAGGAACACACTGAGAACCATCGACACACAGAGACCATCATGAGGAACACACAGAGACCATCATGAGGAACACACTGAGAACCATCGACACACAGAGACCATCATGAGGAACACACAGAGACCATCATGAGGAACACACAGAGACCATCATGAGGAACACACAGAGACCATCATGAGGAACACACAGAGACCACCATGAGGAACACACAGAGAACCATCATGAGGAACACACAGAGACCATCATGAGGAACACACTGAGAACCATCGACACACAGAGACCATCATGAGGAACACACAGAGACCATCAAGAGGAACACACAGAGAACAAACATGAGGAACACAGAGACCATCATGAGAAACACACAGAGAACCATCATGAGGAACACACAGAGACCATCCTCAGACCATCATGAGGAACACACAGAGACCATCATGAGGAACACACAGAGACCATCATGAGGAACACACAGAGAACCATCATGAGGAACACACAGAGAACCATCATGAGGAACACACAGAGAACCATCATGAGGAACACACAGAGAACCATCATGAGGAACACACAGAGACCATCATGAGGAACACACAGAGAACCATCATGAGGAACACAGAGACCATCATGAGGAACACACAGAGAACCATCATGAGGAACACACAGAGAACCATCATGAGGAACACACAGAGAACCATCATGAGGAACACACAGAGAACCATCATGAGGAACAGACAGAGAACCATCATGAGGAACACACAGAGACCATCATGAGGAACACACAGAGAACAAACATGAGGAACACAGAGACCATCATGAGAAACACACAGAGAACCATCATGAGAAACACACAGAGAACCATCATGAGGAACACACAGAGACCATCATGAGGAACACACAGAGAACCATCATGAGGAACACACTGAGAACCATCGACACACAGAGACCATCATGAGGAACACACAGAGAACAAACATGAGGAACACACTGAGAACCATCGACACACAGAGACCATCATGAGGAAAACACATAGAACAAACATGAGGAACACACAGAGACCATCATGAGGAACACAGAGACCATCATGAGGAACACACAGAGAACCATCATGAGGAACACACAGAGAACCATCGTGAGGAACACACATAGGAACCATCATGAGGAACACACAGAGACCATCATGAGGAACACAGAGACCATCATGAGGAACACAGAGACCATCATGAGGAACACACAGAAAACCATCATGAGGAACACACAGAGAACCATCATGAGGAACACACAGAGACCATCATGAGGAACACACAGAGAACCATCATGAGGAACACACAGAGACCATCATGAGGAACACACTGAGAACCATCGACACACAGAGACCATCATGAGGAACACACAGAGAACCATCATGAGGAACACACAGAGAACCATCATGAGGAACACACAGAGACCATCATGAGGAACACACAGAGACCATCATGAGTAACACACAGAGACCATCATGAGTAACACACAGAGAACCATCATGAGTAACACACAGAGACCATCATGAGTAACACACAGAGAACCATCATGAGGAACAGACAGAGAACCATCATGAGGAACACACAGATAACCATCATGAGGAACACACAGAGACCATCATGAGGAACACACAGAGAACCATCATGAGGAACACACAGAGACCATCATGAGGAACACACAGATAACCATCATGAGGAACACAGAGACCATCATAAGGGACACAGAGACCATCATGAGGAATACACAGAGACCATCATGAGGAACACACAGATAACCATCATGAGGAACACACAGAGAACCATCATGAGGAACACACAGAGAAACATCATGAGGAACACACAGAGAACCATCATGAGTAACACACAGAGACCATCATGAGGAACACACAGAGACCATCATGAGGAACACACAGAGAACCATCATGAGGAACACACAGAGAAACATCATGAGGAACACACAGAGAACCATCATGAGTAACACACAGAGACCATCATGAGGAACACACAGAGACCATCATGAGGAACACACAGAGAACCATCATGAGGAACACACAGAGAAACATCATGAGGAACACACAGATAACCATCATGAGGAACACAGAGACCATCATGAGGAACTCAGAGACCATCATGAGGAACACACAGAGACCATCATGAGGAACACACAGAGACCATCGTGAGGAACACACAGAGAACCATCATGAGGAACACACAGAGAACCATCATGAGGAACACAGAGACCATCATGAGGAACACAGAGACCATCATGAGGAACACAGAGAGACCATCATGAGGAACACACAGAGACCATCATGAGGAACACACAGAGAACCATCCACACAGAGAACCATCATGAGGAACACACAGAGAACCATCATGAGAAACACACAGAGAACCATCATGTGGAACACACAGAGAACCATCATGAGGAACACACAGAGACCATCATGAGGAACACACAGAGAACCATCATGAGGAACACACAGAGAACCATCATGAGGAACACACAGAGAACCATCATGAGGAACACACAGAGAACCATCATGAGGAACACACAGAGAACCATCATGAGGAACACACAGAGAACCATCATGAGGAACACACAGAGACCATCATGAGGTACACACAGAGACCATCATGAGGAACACACAGAGAAACATCATGAGGAATACACAGAGAACCATCATGAGGAACACAGAGACCATCATGAGGAACACACAGAGACCATCATGAGGAACACACAGAGACCATCATGAGGAACACACAGAGAACCATCATGAGGAACACACAGAGACCATCATGAGGAACACACAGAGAACCATCATGAGGAACACACAGAGACCATCATGAGGAACACACAGAGAACCATCATGAGGAACACACAGAGACCATCATGAGGAACACACAGAGAACCATCATGAGGAACACACAGAGAACCATCATGAGGAACACACAGAGACCATCATGAGGAACACACAGAGAACCATCATGAGGAACACACAGAGACCATCATGAGGAACACACAGAGAACCATCATGAGGAACACACAGAGAACCATCATGAGGAACACACAGAGACCATCATGAGGAACACACAGAGAACCATCATGAGGAACACACAGAGACCATCATGAGGAACACACAGAGAACCATCATGAGGAACACACAGAGACCATCATGAGGAACACACAGAGAACCATCATGAGGAACACACAGAGACCATCATGAGGAACACACAGAGAACCATCATGAGGAACACACAGAGAACCATCATGAGGAACACACAGAGACCATCATGAGGAACACACAGAGAACCATCATGAGGAACACACAGAGACCATCATGAGGAACACACAGAGAACCATCATGAGGAACACACAGAGACCATCATGAGGAACACACAGAGAACCATCTTGAGGAACACACAGAGAACCATCATGAGGAACACACAGAGACCATCATGAGGAACACACAGAGAACCATCATGAGGAACACACAGAGACCATCATCGTGTTGGTTACTCACTGTTATGGACAGACGTACAGTATAGTAAGGTAAATGTGTGTGTGGTGTTAGTCTGTACCATGATGTCTCCCTTCAGCATCTGTGCCGGCTCCAGCGTCATACAGATCCTGTCTCTGTGACCGGCTCCCATGTGGCTGAGGAATATCAAATATCATATCATACAGGTCATTGTTAACACATATTGTGTATATATATATATATATATATATATATATATATATATATATATATATATATATATATATATATATATATATATATGCGTGTTATATAAACACAAACTTTTATGCTAGATGCGATTAATCACGATTAATTGTTTTGACAGCAATAAAAAATACCTTTTTGTTTTTACCTAAAATAAAATAAACATCAATTGAAATGAAGAAAAACATAAAAACATACTTTAAAACTATAGACAGACAATAAATATGACAAAACACACAACAAAATTACAAAAAGTTTCAAATTAAAATGAAACAGAAAATATTCAAATAAAATCGAATTCAAAATATGAACAAAAACTATAATAGTACATCAAAGACACTAAAATATGACTGAATCAAATAAGTCATTAAATCAAACCTGTAAATAATCGTTTTTTTAATGGCAAAACTGTAAAAGTGTAATCCGCTAGAAGTAAGTGGGAACACTGTAATAAATCTATCAGGATACTTCATATCATGTTACAGGTTGTGGAAGTGAAAAACAACAAACCATCTTATAATTCGCAGAGGAAAGCCATAAGCGGACACTCCCTGTGACTTCTGGAATTCTGCTTTCAATAATCAAGTTTCTTCTTGTTTTTTGGTCTCAGTGGGTTTTGTGTTGTGAAATCAACGTGTACTGCATTACTTCAGTGTCGTGTGTGTGTCTGGGCAGTGTCAGTGTATTATAAAGCCACAGGTTCCAGTGTATATGCACTGATGATGATGTGTAGAATAAACTCACTATATTCCTGAGACGTAGACCACCTGCATCGCCTGATACACCTTCACATACGGCTGACACACTGCAGGAGACACACGGGTTACTGGGAGAATCACACTGGATACACACTGATACACACTCATACACCTTCACATACGGCTGGCACACTGCAGGACACACACGGGTTACTGGGAGAATCACACTGGATACACACTGATACACACTCATACACCTTCACATACGGCTGACACACTGCAGGACACACACGGGTTACTGGGAGAATCACACTGGATACACACTGATTCACACTCATACACCTTCACATACGGCCGACACACTGCAGGAGACACACGGGTTACTGGGAGAATCACACTGGATACACACTGATTCACACTCGTACACCTTCACATACGGCTGACACACTGCAGGAGACACACGGGTTACTGGGAGAATTACACTGCAAACGTGTGTTGAGATGATTCAGGGGTATCTAGCAGCAGTCACATGAGATTGAGCACTGTCTTCTCTTGAGAATGAACACAGCTTCAGTGATAAACAGGAACAAGAGGGTGTTAATGTTGCGTGAGGGTGTTGCGTGAGGGTGTTGCGTGAGGGTGTTGCGTGAGGGTGTTGCGTGAGGGTGTTGCGTGAGGGTGTTGTGTGAGGGTGTTGCGTTAGGGTGTTGTGTGAGAGTGTTGCGTGAGGGTGTTGTGTGAGGGTGTTGCGTGAGGGTGTTGCGTGAGGGTGCTGCGTGAGGGTATTGCGTGAGGGTATTGTGTGAGGGTGTTGTGTGAGGGTGTTGTGTGAGGGTATTGCGTGAGGGTGTTGCGTGAGGGTGTTGCGTGAGGGTGTTGCGTGAGGGTGTTGCGTGAGGGGGGTGTTGCGTGAGGGGGGTGTTGCGTGAGGGGGGTGTTGCGTGAGGGTGTTGCGTGAGGCTGTTGCGTGAGGGTGTTGCGTGAGGGTGTTGCGTGAGGGTGTTGCGTGAGGGTGTTGCGTGAGGGTGTTGCGTGAGGGTGTTGCGTGAGGCTGTTGTGTGAGGGTGTTGCGTGAGGGTGTTGCGTGAGGGTGTTGCGTGAGGGTGTTGCGTGAGGGTGTTGCGTGAGGGTGTTACGTGAGGGTGTTGCGTGAGGGTGTTGTGTGAGGGTGTTACGTGAGGGTGTTGTGTGAGGGTGTTGCGTGAGGGTGTTGCATGAGGTGTTGCGTGAGGGTGTTGCGTGAGGGTGTTGCGTGAGGGTGTTGCGTGAGGGGGGTGTTGCGTGAGGGTGTTGCGTGAGGGTGTTGCGTGAGGGTGTTGCGTGAGGGTGTTGTGTGAGGGTGTTGCGTGAGGGTGTTGCGTTAGGGTGTTGCGTGAGGGTGTTGCGTGAGGGTGTTGCGTGAGGGTGTTGCGTGAGGGTGTTGCGTGAGGGTGTTGCGTGAGGTGTTGCGTGAGGGTGTTGCGTGAGGGTGTTGCGTGAGGGTGTTGTGTGAGGGTGTTGCGTGAGGGTGTTGTGTGAGGGTGTTGTGTGAGGGTGTTGTGTGAGGTGTTGTGTGAGGGTGTTGTGTGAGGGTGTTGTGTGAGGGTGTTGCGTGAGGGTGTTGCGTGAGGGTGTTGCGTGAGGGTGTTGCGTGAGGGTGTTGCGTGAGGGTGTTGCGTGAGGGTGTTGCGTGAGGTTGTTGCGTGAGGGTGTTGTGTGAGGGTGTTGCGTGAGGATGTTGTGTGAGGTGTTGTGTGAGGGTGTTGCGTGAGGGTGTTGCGTGAGGGTGTTGCGTGAGGGTGTTGCGTGAGGGTGTTGCGTGAGGGTGTTGCGTGAGGGTGTTGCGTGAGGGTGTTGTGTGAGGGTGTTGCGTGAGGGTGTTGTGTGAGGGTGTTGCGTGAGGGTGTTGCGTGAGGGTGTTGCGTGAGGGTGTTGCGTGAGGGTGTTGCGTGAGGGTGTTGTGTGAGGGTGTTGCGTGTGGGTGTTGTGTGAGGATGTTGTTTGAGGTGTTGTGTGAGGGTGTTGAGTGAGGGTGTTGCGTGAGGGTGTTGCGTTAGGGTGTTGTGTGAGGGTGTTGCGTGAGGGTGTTGCGTGAGGTGTTGTGTGAGGGTGTTGCGTGAGGGTGTTGTGTGTGTTGTGTGAGGGTGTTGCGGGAGGGTGTTGCGTGAGGGTGTTGCGTGAGGGTGTTGCGTGAGGGTGTTGCGTGAGGGTGTTGTGTGAGGGTGTTGCGTGAGGGTGTTGCGTGAGGGTGTTGCGTGAGGGTGTTGCGTGAGGGTGTTGCGTTAGGGTGTTGCGTGAGGGTGTTGCGTGAGGGTGTTGCGTGAGGGTGTTGCGTGAGGGTGTTGTGTGAGGGTGTTGCGTGAGGGTGTTGCGTGAGGGTGTTGCGTGAGGGTGTTGCGTGAGGGGGGTGTTGCGTGAGGGTGTTGCGTGAGGGGGGTGTTGCGTGAGGGTGTTGCGTGAGGGTGTTGCGTGAGGGTGTTGCGTGAGGGTGTTGCGTGAGGGTGTTACGTGAGGGTGTTGCGTGAGGGTGTTGCGTGAGGGTGTTGCGTGGGGGTGTTGCGTGAGGGTGTTGCGTGAGGGTATTGCGTGAGGGGGGTGTTGCGTGAGGGTGTTGCGTGAGGGTGTTGCGTGAGGGTGTTGCGTGAGGGTGTTGCGTGAGGGTGTTGCGTGAGGGTGTTGCGTGAGGGTGTTGCGTGAGGGTGTTGCGTGAGGGTGTTTTGTGAGGGTGTTGCGTGAGGGTGTTGCGTGAGGGTGTTGCGTGAGGGTGTTGCGTGAGGGTGTTGCGTGAGGTGTTGCGTGAGGTGTTGTGTGAGGGTGTTGTGTGAGGGTGTTGTGTGAGGGTGTTGTGTGAGGGTGTTGTGTGAGGTGTTGCGTGAGGGTGTTGCGTGAGGGTGTTGCGTGAGGGTGTTGCGTAAGGGTGTTGCGTGAGGGTGTTGCGTGAGGGTGTTGCGTGAGGGTGTTGCGTGAGGGTGTTGTGTGAGGGTGTTGCGTGAGGGTGTTGTGTGAGGGTGTTGCGTGAGGGTGTTGCGTGAGGGTGTTGTGTGAGGGTGTTGCGTGAGGGTGTTGTGTGAGGGTGTTGCGTGAGGGTGTTGCGTGAGGGTGTTGCGTGAGGGTGTTGTGTGAGGGTGTTGCGTGAGGATGTTGTGTGAGGTGTTGTGTGAGGGTGTTGCGTGAGGGTGTTGCGTGAGGGTGTTGCGTAAGGGTGTTGCGTGAGGGTGTTGCGTGAGGGTGTTGCGTGAGGGTGTTGCGTGAGGGTGTTGTGTGAGGGTGTTGCGTGAGGGTGTTGTGTGAGGGTGTTGCGTGTTGCGTGAGGGTGTTGCGTGAGGGTGTTGTGTGAGGGTGTTGCGTGAGGGTGTTGTGTGAGGGTGTTGCGTGAGGGTGTTGCGTGAGGGTGTTGTGTGAGGGTGTTGCGTGTGGGTGTTGTGTGAGGATGTTGTTTGAGGTGTTGTGTGAGGGTGTTGAGTGAGGGTGTTGCGTGAGGGTGTTGCGTTAGGGTGTTGTGTGAGGGTGTTGCGTGAGGGTGTTGCGTGAGGTGTTGTGTGAGGGTGTTGTGTGAGGGTGTTGCGTGAGGGTGTTGTGTGTGTTGTGTGAGGGTGTTGCGGGAGGGTGTTGTGTGAGGGTGTTGCGGGAGGGTGTTGTGTGAGGGTGTTGCGTGAGGGTGTTGCGTGAGGGTGTTGCGTGAGGGTGTTGTGTGAGGGTGTTGCGTGAGGGTGTTGTGTGAGGGTGTTGCGTGAGGGTGTTGTGTGCGGGTGTTGCGTGAGGGTGTTGCGTGAGGGTGTTGCGTGAGGGTGTTGCGTGAGGGTGTTGCGTGAGGGTGTTGTGTGAGGGTGTTGCGTGAGGGTGTTGCGTGAGGGTGTTGTGTGAGGGTGTTGTGTGAGCAAGTAAACACACACTGACCCGCGGCGCGGTCGAAGCCCTGAAGGATGACACAGTGCAGGAACAGAGGACACGTGTTCATCTTGATGGAGCCGCTCAGGAGACTGTTGAGGATACACACGTACCTGAACACACACACCAGCACAAACAGCTTATAATCACAGCTCTTCTCAAAACACACATGCAGTGTTGGGGAAGTTACGTTGAAAAGTAAAGCATTACAATAGTGCGTTACTCCCTTAAAAAGTAACTAATTGCGTTACGTAGTTACTTTTTAAGAAAAGTAATACGTTACAGTACTTTTGCGTTACTTTTCTCACCTTTTATAATAAAAAAGTTATATTTTTGGGCAAATGTAAAGACCCTTTAACACCAAAAGTGAAATAATAATCCTCAGGCTGAAGGAAGTGCAGATTCACGCGTGTCCAGTAGAGGACGCCGCTCAAACACACCTTTCAGCTTTCAACACTTCTCCAATAAACACTACAAATATGAAGTCAGTAACTTGCGTTACTTATTTGAAAAAGATATTTTGTTGTAAATTTGAACTTTACTAGTTACTAAGTGATCAGATTACGTAACGTCTCGGTTACGATCCTCCAAAGGGAGTGAGTGCACAATGTGCCTCTGCGACTCCTCAAGTTCCCCAACACTACACACACACACACACACACACACACACGCTCCTGGTCCAATAAAGCCTGCGTGATCCACGCGATCTCCTCCAGCACTTCTGGCTTTCATCGAGACTCTTTCAGCAAGATAAAGTCTTTTAGTGTAATAGTTCAAACGTCCTTCAGCTCATGTCTTCTTCATCTGAAATCTGCTTTGATTTTATCAAGTAAACGTAAGAATATTGTTTGATAATGTTAGTAATATTTCAACTGGACTGAAGCGACTGAGCTTTACTTGATTATCATTTATTATAATAATCATGAGTATCAAATATGATCATCAGGCTTTTGAGGAAAGTTTATCTGTTAATTTCTCAATCATCATTGTATTACAATGCATTATATGATTTAAAACTACAGAGCTTTGATCATAAAATTAAGCATTTAAATATCATCTTACTGAGTCATATTATTGGCAGATATTGATATTTATATGCATTTTATGTCAGTCGTCTGTTATGAAGAGGTCACTGATTTACAAGCATCATAATTTCATATAAATATCAGCATCTGCACCAAATTGCATATTTTGCTCCGAATAAAATATAGCTCCATATTCTCACCATATCAGACCATATGAGCCATAAAAGCCTGGTGTATGATAAATATGATACTCACAAAAAGAAGAAATTATATGTTCTCCTCTTCAGCCCATCAAGACTACGAACAGTTTTCATTATTCACAGAAAAAGTGCAACATTTGGTAACACTTGTCAGTGTCCTTTACAGTCATATGTTGCATGTACTTACTTACCATCGTAATGACAGTAAATTATACATAATTACATGCAACTAAACCTCAACCAAAATCCTACCCTAACCCTATAGTAAGTGCATGTAGTTGCTTAATATTACTCAGTACTTAAATATATAATTACACTGTAACTTTGACAACTTTAAATAAAGTGTAACCCAACATTATTTCAACAGCATTAGAGAACAGATACTACAAATACATCCTGCTGATACTAGACTTAGTGCGTGTGTGCGTGCGTGCATGCGTGCGTGTGTGTGAGTGAGTGAGTGAGTGAGTGAGTGAGTGTGTGGGTGCGTGCGTGCGTGCATGCGTGCGTGCGTGTGAGTGAGTAAGTGAGTGTGTGGGTGCGTGCGTGTGTGTAGGGCATCACCTCCTCTGAGATGGAGTCATCAGCGCAGAAACCTTGTCGTCGTAGAACTTCCTCATGGCGAAGCGGTCCAGCGCCTGATCTGCACTGTCAGCACCAGAACATCCACATCAGCCGATAACATTTTACATTTACATTTACATTTATTCATTTAGCAGACGCTTTTATCCAAAGCGACTTACAAATGAGAACAATAGAAGCAGTTAAACTAACAGTAGGACAACAATACGTAAGTGCTATAACCCCTCAGTTTAATTTTAGTGCAGGTTTTTTTAATTTTTTTTTTTTTTTTTTTTATAGAATAGAAGAGAAGAGAAAGTGTTAATTCTACTGAATCAAGTGCTGCCGAAAAAGATATGTCTTCAGCAGTTTCTTGAAAGTGGCTACTGACTCAGAAGCTCTGGTTGAGTTAGGCAGATCATTCCACCAACAGGGAACAGCCATGCTAAAGGTCCGAGAAAGAGATTTTGTGCCTCTTTGAGATGGTACCACAAGACGACATTCGCTAGCAGAGCGCAGGTTTCTGGATGGCACATTAGTCTGAAGTAATGAGTTTAGGTAAGAGGGAGCAGTGCCAGTGGTTGTTCTGTAGGCAAACGTCAGTGCCTTGAATTTAATGCAAGCGGCAACTGGCAACCAGTGCAATTGTGTGAGGAGAGGAGTGACGTGTGCTCTCTTCGGCTCATTGAAGACTACTCTGGCATCCACATATAACATCCACATCAGCCAATAACATCCATATATAACATCCACATCAGCCAATAACATCCACATAACATCCACATCAGCCAATAACATCCACACATAACATCCACATCAGCCGATAACATCCACACATAACATCCACATCAGCCAATAACATCCACACATAACATCCACATCAGCCAATAACATCCACACATAACATCCACATCAGCCAATAACATCCACATAACATCCACATCAGCCAATAACATCCACATAACATCCACATCAGCCAATAACATCCTCACATAACGTCCACATCAGCCAATAACATCCACATATAACATCCACATCAGCCAATAACATCCACATAACATCCACATCAGCCAATAACATCCACATAACATCCACATCAGCCAATAACATCCTCACATAACATCCACATCAGCCAATAACATCCACATATAACATCCACATCAGCCAATAACATCAACACATAACATCCACATCAGCCGATAAAATCCACATATAACATCCACATCAGCCAATAACATCCTCACATAACATCCACGTCAGCCAATAACATCCATATATAACATCCACATCAGCCAATAACATCCACACATAACATCCACATATAACATCCACATCAGCCAATAACATCCACATATAACATCCACATCAGCCAATAACATCCACATAACATCCACATCAGCCAATAACATCCACATATACCATCCACATCAGCCAATAACATCCACATAACATCCACATCAGCCAATAACATCCACATAACATCCACATCAGCCAATAACATCCTCACATAACATCTACATCAGCCAATAACATCCACATATAACATCCACATCAGCCAATAACATCCACATAACATCCACATCAGCCAATAACATCCACATAACATCCACATCAGCCAATAACATCCACATAACATCCACATCAGCCAATAACATCCACATATAACATCCACATCAGCCAATAACATCCACATAAAACATCCACATCAGCCAATAACATCCACATAACATCCACATCAGCCAATAACATCCACATATACCATCCACATCAGCCAATAACATCCACATAACATCCACATCAGCCAATAACATCCACATAACATCCACATCAGCCAATAACATCCTCACATAACATCCACATCAGCCAATAACATCCACATATAACATCCACATCAGCCAATAACATCCACACATAACATCCACATCAGCCGATAACATCCACATATAACATCCACATCAGCCAATAACATCCACACATAACATCCACATCAGCCAATAACATCCACACATAACATCCACATCAGCCAATAACATCCACACATAACATCCACATCAGCCAATAACATCCACACATAACATCCACATCAGCCAATAACATCCACACATAACATCCACATCAGCCAATAACATCCACACATAACATCCACATCAGCCAATAACATCCACACATAACATCCACATCAGCCAATAACATCCACACATAACATCCACATCAGCCAATAACATCCACATAACATCCACATCAGCCAATAACATCCACATATAACATCCACATCAGCCAATAACATCCACACATAACATCCACATCAGCCGATAACATCCACATATAACATCCACATCAGCCAATAACATACTCACATAACATCCACATCAGCCGATAACATCCACACATAACATCCACATCAGCCGATAACATCCACACATAACATCCACATCAGCCAATAACATCCACATAACATCCACATCAGCCAATAACATCCACACATAACATCCACATCAGCCAATAACATCCACACATAACATCCACATCAGCCAATAACATCCACACATAACATCCACATCAGCCAATAACATCCACATATAACATCCACATCAGCCAATAACATCCACACATAACATCCACATCAGCCAATAACATCCACATATAACATCCACAGCAGCCAATAACATCCACATAACATCCACATCAGCCAATAACATCCATATAACATCCATATCAGCCAATAACATCCACATAACATCCACGTCAGCCAATAACATCCACATATAACATCCACATATAACATCCACATATAACATCCACATCAGCCAATAACATCCACATATAACATCCACAGCAGCCAATAACATCCATATAACATCCACATCAGCCAATAACATCCACATAACATCCACGTCAGCCAATAACATCCACATATAACATCCACATATAACATCCAGATCAGCCAATGACATCCACATATAACATCCAGATCAGCCAATAACATCCACATAACATCCACGTCAGCCAATAACATCCACATATAACATCCACATATAACATCCACGTCAGCCAATAACATCCACATATAACATCCACATATAACATCCAGATCAGCCAATGACATCCACATATAACATCCAGATCAGCCAATAACATCCACACATAACATCCACATCAGCCAATAACATCCACACATAACATCCACATCAGCCAATAACATCCACATATAACATCCACATCAGCCAATAACATCCTCACATAACATCCACATCAGCCAATAACATCCACATATAACATCCACATCAGCCAATAACATCCACATATAACATCCACATCAGCCAATAACATCCACACAAAACATCCACATCAGCCAATAACATCCACACATAACATCCACATCAGCCAATAACATCCACATATAACATCCACATCAGCCAATAACATCAGCCAATAACATCCACATCAGCCAATAACATCCACACATAACATCCACATCAGCCAATAACATCCACATATAACATCCACATCAGCCAATAACATCCACACATAACATCCACATCAGCCAATAACATCCACATAACAACCACATCAGCCAATAACATCCACACAAAACATCCACATCAGCCAATAACATCCACATATAACATCCACATCAGCCAATAACATCCACATATAACATCCACATCAGCCAATAACATCCACACATAACATCCACATCAGCCAATAACATCCACATATAACATCCACATCAGCCAATAACATCCACATAACATCCACATCAGCCAATAACATACACACATAACATCCACATCAGCCATAAATAAAACAAGTAAATAAATACACTTTCGTTAACAAAAAAGTGCAAGGTATCAAGAACTAGATCAAAACAAAGTAATATGTCAATTTAAACTTTTAAAGTGTCTCACACAAATGCTGGTTTTTCGACTGTGTATAATGGCTGCATTTCTTTGGCTATATAGCGAGTTGCGCTATCCGTGTGCGCCATTTCACGCTGTCACGTTTATATTTGCACTGTCGGGAAAAGGCATCTGCAACAGATAACTGTCTGGAAGAAGGCCCCCCTCCAACTCCAGCTGCAGTTGTTGTTCCCAGGTTGAAAAACTGGGTGGGATGGTTATGTTTTAGGTGCGATTTTAACTCTGTTGTGTTGCCTCTTTTCGTTGCTACTGTTTTAAAACACAGTCGACATACCGGCTCGTTCACGTTAATTAGCTCTCCTCTCTCGTTCGGCTTAAAGCCAAAATGTTCCCACACCGGAGCTGAAGATTGCGGCTTTGAAATCAATTCCATGTTGGACTCGTTCTTCCTAACTGGCTCGCTGTAGATGTCACGAAACATAACACTTTAAAATGCAGTTGGTTCACGCCTTCTCTTCACCTGACGGTGTCCGCTCTCTCTCTCTGTGTGTGTGTGTGTGTGTGGACGCTGCCTGAACCCCGCCTCCGAGGCGCAGACATAGAGTGCAGACAAGATGACAGAGGTGCGCGCGATCAACTAAAATCCACATCAGCCGATAACATCCACACATAACATCCACATCAGCCAATAACATCCACATAACATCCACATCAGCCAATAACATCCACACAACATCCACATCAGCCAATAACATCCACACATAACATCCACATCAGCCAATAACATCCACACAAAATATCCACATAAGCCAATAAAGTCCACACATAACATCCACATCAGCCAATAACATCCACACATAACATCCACATCAGCCAATAACATCCACACATAACATCCACATCAGCCAATAACATCCACACCTAACATCCACATCAGCAAATAACATCCACATATAACATCCACATCAGCCAATAACATCCACATCAGCCAATAACATCCACATATAACATCCACATCAGCCGATAACATCCACACATAACATCCACATCAGCCAATAACATCCACATATAACATCCACATCAGCCAATAACATCCACATATAACATCCACATCAGCCAATAACATCCACACATAACATCCACATCAGCCAATAACATTCACACATAACATCCACATCAGCCAATAACATCCACACATAACATCCACATCAGCCAATAACATCCACA